AGGACCAGGTTAGCCATCCCCCTGCCATCGCGAGAGCCAGGTTGCTGAGACACGGGCCCGCCAAGGCCATCAGTATCTCCCGCCCTGACCAGCTGGCCGTCAACGGGGCCTCTCTTGGTCCATCCATCTCAGAACCCGACCTGACAAGCGTGAAGGAGCGGGTCAAGAAAGAGCCCGTGAAGGAGAGACCTGTGTCTGAAATGTTTTCGCTGGAGGACAGCATCATAGAAAGAGAGATGATGATCAGGGTAAGCGTCTCCCTCTCCCGGGGCATTTGGGGGGACACTTATGCACACCGATCTCCCCCTGCGGCCTCCTCCATCCCTTGTCCATGATTCGTTCAGTGCGTGAAAGCATACATACTTTAGACACTGAAGAAGTGCGAGTCTTACTCAGCGTGTGAGGGATTTAAAGCATCCCTTGGCATTTAAGCAGGTAGTGTTTTATTTCCAGAAATTTGGTTTTTGCTGCTTCAAATAAATCTGCCATTCTCATTCGTGGATTCTAATAGGTCTTTGGTACAAAGCGCAATGATGGAGTTGGGATGTTACCGGTCATTGAGAATCCTAGGCCAGCCTTCACTCTCTTTTTGGGCTCAAACATGCTACGAGCTCACCTTCCTACACATCTTGGTATTATTTTTTTTCTGACTATAAAGCCTTTTTAAAAAAAAAAAACAAAAAAAAAACCCAATTAGGTATTAAAAGAGCAACCTCACTTTAGAGCACAGATTTCTGTATGTCAGGATGACTCGTCAACGTTAGCTGGACCACAATGTGTCCTTCGTGGATTCTAATAGGTCTTTGGTACAAAGCGCAGTGATGGAGTTGGGATGTTACCGGTCGTTGAGAATCCTAGGCCAGCCTTCACTCTCTTTTCGGGCTCAAACATGCTATGAGCTCACCTTCCTACACCTCTTGGTATTTTTCTTTTACTGACTATAAAGACTTTTTAAAAAAAAAAAACAAAAAAAAAACCCAATTAGGTATTAAAAGAGCAACCTCACTTTAGAGCACAGATTTCTGTATGTCAGGATGACTTGTCAATGTTAGCTGGACCACGATGTGTCCAGGTTTATTTTCAGATGTCCTTTCAGTAGATGTTTAACGCAAAGCCAAGAAAATGACAGTAAACTTGGAAGTTTATCATTGAGTGTCAACTCCCCGTTAAGCTTAGTCTTTCAAGAATTCAGATACACGTGTGCGAATGTACATGTGCACCTACATACATCCACGTGCACACTTACGACATTGGAGGGTGCCTGATGTTCCACATAACTAACTCTTCTTCAGAACATGTACCTCCTGGAAGACCCGTTCTGTGGTCAGAGCAGGAGTGAGCAGTAATAGGTCTGCCCTGAACAGCAAAATAAGTTCTCGCTCACGGATGAGAAAATTGCTAAATCGTAGTTGCTACTTTAAAAAAAATTATTTCAGAACACATTGCTGCTCGTCCTGGAACTTTTCATTCCTTTAAGAACCCAAAAAATCGTTTTATTATAACTAATGCAACCCAGATTGACCTCTGTGCAGGCACCACGTCTCTCTCCTGAGAGAGCCAGGCCGATGTTAGGTTTTCCAGAACAGTTGTAACTTAAAACTCGCTTCAACGGCGTTCATTACGCTTCCTTCATTTATAAGTCACCCTGACTCTCCAGTGGGAATCAGCCTGAAAAGAAGGCCAGCATTCTGAGGAAACCGTGTTCCTGGGTTCGGGCATCTAATCCGTAACAACGTTATTACTTTAGACAAACTGTAAGAACGTTCTCAGCTTCCCGGTTTTGGCCATCAGTCGAGTAATGCTAAGAATTCCGTGCAGGCATAACTCTTTCCACTTCCTGCAAACCTAGAGGGAAATTGCGAATGAGGGGCTTGCTTGGGCCTCTAAAAAATAAAACCGACATGGAATGAATTGTGGGAGCAGGTACCTCGGGGGAGAGCTTTCCCAGCGTGGAGAAAGGAATTCATTGGGAGAAAGGGATTTTTAGCGCTTCTTGGCCCCAGGCCCCTGTGACACAACTCAGCCTATTGCTGACTTGATATTGATTGATGCATACGTGGTCTCATAGCCTCATTTTGGTCATATTCATCCACTAATGTACTAAACAAAAGCAGCAGCCAAATTCATGGCATTGGTTCCTTACTAGAGCTCCCTGCATTATTGCCAAGGAGCAAGGCGATTTCTGCTGTTTTCCCCACATGCTCTCCCATCCCATCCGCATGGACGAGAGTGGATACCTGATTTTACCCCTTAACGTATAGTCCAGAACATCATGACCCCATCCCTACTTCATCCTCCCCGTTGATTTTTTCCCCCAAAGTCCTATGCACTCTGGAGTTCAAGGTCCGCTACCCTGGGCTGATGTCCTGACCTTATAGCCGGTTTAAGAGGTTCTTCAGTGAACCAGTGTGCCAGACAGGATGGCCACAGTACTGGTGGCACTGAAGCTTGGGATGGTTCTGCATCTATTTTTTTTTTTTTTTTTAATGAAGAAACTCACCCCAGTACCCTCACCCCATCTCAGATGCTTCTCTGCCCTCCCCACTGCTTGCCTTGCTAGGAAGGGATAAGAAGAGGGCCTCTGGAGGATAAGAGGACAATGAGAAAGTGGGCACTGGAGGGGGACCGGTATGGTGAGAATTTGCCCTGCAGCCAACTCCGGGTAATTCTGGAGCCGCTTGACTATTCGATTGATGATGGAGTCCAGCTGTCTTGGTAGCTCCTCCCCCTGGCTCCTCTCATGGTCCGCAGGGAAGAGAAAAGGCCAAATCAGATCTTTGAGTTATTTTTTTTTTTAAGAGAAAAGGCCAAATCAGATCTTTGACTTATTTTATTTTATTTTATTTTTTTATCCCTGGTAATGCACTGTTAGAGTAATAAGTGAGAAGGAGCTAAGAGAAATAGTTTATCACTGGGGTGTCAGTTCTCACTAGGGAGTAGTAATCCTTTCCTGAGAAAGACAAGTTTGTGACGTTTCTGTCTTGGACCCAGTTAGAGTCACCTCCTGGTGCAGGTGGGAAGGAAGCGGAGGGACTCGGGACTATTTTCTCCAAATTATTCTTAAGAGTATTACACCTTTGGCCCAAAGTTCATAGGACTTTTTCTTACTTTGTCACAGTTGATCCTCCTCTGAGACGCTCCTTTTGTCTGTCTGGTGGGTTGGCCCTGTCATTGGAGAAAGCATTTAAGGGCATCATCACTCACAAAGGCCAGGGCTCCATTCAGACTGCAGATGGCATTGAGGGGATGAGGGGGCGCGTGTAGGGGTGCGATGCCATTCCCTGCACCCACGACTGGAAGAACACTCTCACTCTGTGTCATCTGCAAACACCATGGCTATCAAGACACGTGTCTGGGGGAGTCAATTTATAAATGATAGACAAAGGGGGGAAAAATACCTAAAGGCTTGAAAAGAAACCAGCGATAAGGTGATGCTTCTGTCTGTGACAGCCAAAGGAATCTGCAAATTGGTTTCACTCCTGTTTGGATCAAAATCCTAAACGCTGTAAAACTCATCTGTTTGTATGCTTTATGAAGTCCTTCTGCTCTTCTAACTTCTAAGACAAAATGACTTTGGGGAAATGCTCTAATTGGGTTGCCTGAAGTGAGTAAAAGGAGATTTTTTCATGCCTCCGTCAGTTGAGAGGGCATGAAGCACGGCAGCAGACCTTACAGCCAGGGCCCTGACGGGTCAGAGTGTGGGCACAGGCGAGGACAGAGAGGCAATCAAAAAGCCACAATCGAGGGTCAGGTGCTCACATCCAGACCTTTCCCCGAGTGGCCCACTCCGCCCCCAAATCCATGTTCCCCCATAGCTTCGTCACACTACTGATATCCCACCATAGTCAGCGGAAGCCATCGTGTTCAATCCCTCTTCCTCTAGATGAAGTGTGAAGGGGATGCCTGGTGGGTCATCTCAGATGGCCCCGGGCTTCGGTGTTTGTGAGTCGGCTGAACTGCATCAGCCCTCATTCTGGGGGTGATATTTCAGGGACCAGAGATTCGGTATAGGATTGTTATCTTCCATTCTAGAATAGAAACTGGAGCGGGTTTTTCTCTACAGTTTATGTATCCTGATCTCTTAACAATGCATCAATTTTTGTTGTTGTTTTTTTCAGCTATTTAATCTGTAGAAAAGAGCCTCCGTTGTGACTGGATTAGATTATTCACGAAACACTTTCTCTTTCCCAAGTCCTGTCTTCCTTTAGCCCGTATCGTCCCACAGTGTCTTGCTTGTACACGGCTTTGTGTGTGTGTGATCCACTCCCCGGCCCCGCCCGCCGTGGAGGGTTGTGTTCGAATGGAGTCTTTGCTCGTATTTGTTTGTTTGTTCATTTATTCATCCACTTTTCAATAAAAGCTCGGGAGCCCTGGCTTCCTCAGGCACAGTGGGAATTAATGGGAAGGGCCGTGTTTGAATTTGCCCTACTAATAGTGATTGTCTGCATTCCTTGGCTGGGGAGTTAGAGATTTCGGGAGATTAAAACGCATTCCAGCATTCTCCTGGTATTATAAACAATGAGAACATGCCTTTTCTTGCTACAAGAATCTAGAGAAGCAGAAGATGGCAGGCCTGGAGGCGCAGAAGAGGCCACTGATGTTGGCAGCGTTGAATGGACTCTCGGTTGCTCGGGTCTCGGGGCGGGAAGAGAGTCGAGTTGATGGCACACGAGTTCCCATGGACGAGAGGGTAAGTGCCGGGCCTGTCAGACATGTGATTCATTCTCTGTGCTCTTAGGATTCCAAAGCTCCCTCCTTGCCCAAACATGCCAGCACTGAGGTTTGTTTGATGAATTAATTCTTCAGTTTGAGATTAGCAAGACCTGGTCTGTGTTGCATTAAATTGGTCCTTTCCAGCATGTGATGTTTCTCTGTCAGGTCAGGGCAGTGATGCCCACCTAAAGAGACCAGCCTCTCCCAGGCCATGTGGCCTTGCTCAAGTCACGCAGTTTTAGGGGCCTCTTTCCTTTTTGGCAAAATGAGAAAGTTAAACAACTGCCATAGCTTTCAATTTCTGTGATTTTTGCGAATGGTTCCCATTCATTAGGAAGCGAGTATTTTACCCAGGCATTTTTAGAATTCTCTTAATACGCTATTTAAGTTGCACGTCAGTGTTTTAGAGGTGAGGAAAATTATTCCTTTAGTTCCTGAAATTGCTACCAGAGGGTTAGGCAACAGGTTTGGAGTGATGGTAATGTCAGGGTTTTAGATCCCTGCCAGCACCTATGAAGTACTAGGATGTTTCTGAAGGCAGAAGGGACTTCAGAGGGATTATCTGATCTAATTAATACCACGTTATTGTCCTTAGTAGTTCGGCCATGGGAAAAATAAAACGGGGGTGGGGGTTGTTGTTAATCCTCAGAACTACAGGATTGTGTACCAATATCATCTGAAAATTTAGTTCAGTAAAAAGGATGGGCTGCATAAGTGGAGAAAAGGATGTTTGGGTAATTAACAGTAACTTCTGCTTATCGCCAAGACTTGAAACAGAGGTGTTGACAAAAACACTGGATTTTGAATTTCAACTCTTGCCTTGTCTTGCAGACTTAATCTATTCCAGGTGTGAGTGAGACAGAAACTGGTTATTAGACGAGAGAAACTAGCGATATGGTTAATGGAGAGATTTAGGCATTAGTGGTACATCTTGAAACTACTTATTAACACTATCACCATAGATATTTAAAGAAATCTGGTTGTTATCTCGGAGTTTTGGGATGAGATAATTCAGTGAGCTGAAGATTCGTTTCTGCTGCAGTTCAGAACCCTGAAGAAGAAGCTGGAAGAGGGAATGGTGTTCACGGAGTATGAGCAAATTCCAAAGAAAAAGGCAAATGGCATTTTCAGTACAGCGGCTCTGCCAGAAAATGCTGAGCGCAGCCGGATCCGCGAAGTGGTCCCCTACGAGGACAATCGAGTAGAGCTGATACCGACCAAAGAGAATAACACAGGTTACATTAATGCCTCTCACATCCGGGTAAGCTGGGGAGCGAGCTGGGACGCTTTGTGGAAGGTGGCTGGGTTAAAGGTAAAAATGCTGGGAGAGAAAAATGTAGGCCAGGCTGCCACTGTGCATCTTGGCTTGTCCCCAGACCCCGAGGGAATGATTTTGAACTTCTGGGCTTTTCTTCATCAACTGGAAGGGTATGGCTATAACCGCAGAGAGTAAGAAGCCCAAAAGCCTCGGGGAAAAACTCAGGCCAGCTATTTCTGAAGCTTGCTCCTTACAGAGGGTTTAATTTTTTTCTTCTTTCTGTGGTTTACAGCTCTCCCAGAAACTTACAGGAAAAGCCGAGGGTCATCGTTTTTCAGTTTGTAATTAGCAGATGATGGAGACTTTGGAAGTCTCAGGCATCGTCTTGCTGTCATTGAAGTTTTTGTAATATTTAAGGGCAACAGAAACATGTGCATTCTCCCTTGTAATATGCAGGTGATGCATGTGACAGCTGAAGTCTCGAACTTACGTGGTATTTAGCAGAGTGGACTAATTTAAACATAAACCACGAAGATCTGGTTGATAGTGAATCATGCAAGATTTGCCACATTATTCAATGCATGAGTGTCATTAAATTTTTATTAATATTTTTAGAGACTTCAAATCTTATATCTCAGTATTTCATGGACTTTAAAATTAGTCAGCTTTGCTCCACCCCAGTTAGAATTAGTTATGGCTACATGCATACGTATAGTTAAATATTTCCTAAATATCTTACATACCTCAGTGTCCCTAATAACAGAACATATTTGTTTAAAATGTGACCATTTGCTCTGCCCTCTGAAGTATAAAAATTTATTAATTTATTGGTTTTAAAGAATTGTTACAGAATTTTTTTTTTTGCATTAGCTTACTTTTTTTTTTTTTAGTTTCAAGTGTAGAGTACATTGGTTATACATTTATATAGTTTATGATTACTCTGTCACCCATCTGGCTCCACACATAGCCATTACATTACTGCCGACTACATGTCACAGGATGTTTTTAAATAGTACAGGGTTTCACGGTGACCATCTATTATGATCAATAACCTTAGACACCCATTTCTGGCTTTGTCCAGAGTTATTTCCTTTCTTCATTGGACTTTTCAACTGTAGCTGAATTCTTCTTGGTAGGGCCCTTTGAGCCTCCAAAATGTAGCAGATGTCTGGTACATGTATCAGGTATGACAGTTTTGATACAAAATATGAAAAGTATACTGTGTGGGTGTAGTGTTTTTGTACACAGAGCAGAGATGTATCTTTAAGTATCAGCAAGTACTGTCAAATAACATGAAAGAGCACTATTCGGGTTCGTGTTGTGTATTTTCCTCTTATTCTCGAGATTGAGAATGAAGACAATAAAAAAACGAACCCAGGAAAGTCTTAAGTAAACTGACAATGGAGAGTTTCATGGACTTAGTTTAGATAACGAAATGTGGCCAAAATAATGTACTCAAGCAAAGATGCAACTCACACAGCTGCTTCTTGATAGAGTATCTGTGAAAATCTTACATCGCTATATTATACTATCTTTTTCTTTTGGCCAAATCCCCTCTACCATTTTCCATCTGCTCTCTAGAAAAAGCTGTCACTCGGCATCGGCCCGGGCCCATCGAGTGTAGTTAGCAGAAATATTCTCTTCCTCAGTGTTCTCCAAGGCCCACATTTCATCTTATGGATCCGGGTTAGACATGGGTGCGTTTAATAGAGCCACAGAGCTTGCAAGAACTTGTCCGCGTGTTTGGAATGGAGCTGCGTATCTTGCCAATGTTTTCTCCCTGGATTCCAAGCAGCCGTTAGCACAGAACAGAGATTTATTTGCTCCAGAGGTGGAATCACATCTGTGAAATCTACCTCGGGAGCATGGGTTGTTGTGTTTTTAATGCAGTTTTTAATATCCTCCTGTCAATATTTGGACTTTGCTAAAAGGCCCCGGGCAGCAGCATACTCTGAAAGTATTTACGGTTCCTATATGTTGGGTGCCAGAGAGGCTAATGTTTCAAATCACAACTCCACAGATAAACCAAACTCCTAGCCAGCCAGCAAATATATGAACGTTATCTTTCACTGGTACTCGGAAAGTGAATTTTGCTTGCCAGCTCTGACCTAAACATGCATTGTGTAGTGGGAAAATAACCGACGTTTTTATTTGAACCAAGATAGTATATAGTTTCATAAAGTAAATGAGAGGGAAAAGTTTCAAACAGTGATCACTTCATTGCTCCTAGAACTAGCTATGGAGATCTGCGCTGGTGGGTGTGTAAGGGGGCCTGACTTTGTGATAGTAAGGCACAGGAATGCAAGGGGCACAGAAAGAATCTTCTCGAAGGCCACCATTCTACCCGGATCTCAGGGCCTTCAGCCATTCAGGCACAACTTCTTCTTTGTGATTCTCTGCCGCTGACGTTTGGAGCGACATAATTCTCCTCCCAAGGTCACCCTGAGCCACGTGCGATAATCGTTGTATTACCTCAAACCATGCAAAAGTTCATTTGGATGCTGTGGTACTGCACAAGGGGACATTAATGACACAATATCATATCTTGTTGACTTAAGTGCTTTTGTGACACCTCTGCCGTATGTGGCACAACAACGTGGCGGGTACAACTGGAGTTTGGAACACATTTTACGTCAGATCAATGGTAGAAGGCATCGCTCCCAAAGAGATTATTCCATGGTAGACTATTTTACTGTTTAAGTGGATGCCGTCGAGCCCTGTTTCTCAAACTAGGGGTCACAACCGTAGCAGTGAGGTGTAAAATCGATTTAGTAGTCAGGACCAGTTTTTTTTTTTTTAGAATAGAGAAAAGAATGGAAATTATCGGAGTGCACTGCACATAGTAAGCATAACTATTATTTCTGTAACAAATTCTGTTAGGTTATGCACATACATATTCAGGTAACAGTGTGTCTATGTGTGGATATCTACGTATATATATGTTTTTAATATCCCTGTTTTGTACGTAATTGCTACAGGTTGCAGGCAAGAAAAAAAAAATTAGGTATATTTTAATAGCATTTTCACGTGAGACTGTGTCGCTAGCCCTCTGCGGTCTCAGGGTTTTTGATAGTGGCACTACCCCATTTGGCCTAAAAGGTTTTCAGATGGATAAAAATGGACCCATGGTCAGCAGGACATTCCGCCCTGGATTTTCCCTGGATGTGGGGTTCGTTCACCGGTGCTTTCCTTGGTTTCCAGGTGGTGGTCGGTGGGGCAGAATGGCACTACATAGCCACCCAGGGGCCCCTGCCACACACATGCCACGACTTCTGGCAGATGGTGTGGGAGCAGGGAGCGAACGTGATTGCCATGGTCACCGCCGAAGAGGTAAGGGGAACGGCCGCACAGCCGTCTGTTCCCGGGGGAAGGTGCGGCCGGAAGACGCTTCGAGTCCGTGGCTTCGCTGCCGTCCCCTCTTCCCGCAGCCGCTTTCTCTGCACATCCTTTTCTCTCTGGCGGGCACGTGTTTTCCCTTCCGACTCCCACCTAGACCTGTTTCGCTTTCCAAAGATAATGCATCGTTGCCTCCCATTTCCATCAGCTTTTAACTCTTTTCCCTGCATCACCATGAACTAAAAATCAAATAAACAAACAAGAACCAACTTTTCCGTTCAGTCAGGCCACTTTTGTGGGCCAAACAAAGCCGTAATCTGTCCTCTGGAATTTGAGGACCTCGGGCTGCTCCGGGTCAGTCGGCACAGACTCCCCACCCCGGCCACGGCCCCCTTACATGCCATCATGCTTATCACCTGAAAGGGGACCAGAAGCTGTTGTTCCTGTAGAGATCTTTATCCTTTGGGGAGAGAAAAACAAAATCTTTTTCTTCCCTTGCCAAGTCAAGCACAGTTTTTCTGTGGTAACTAGAGAACTCTGGGTGGTGTCATAAAGATGGGCATACACCACTAGTCGGTCTAGTTTGCTGTCTTGGGGGAAAGACATTTTGTTTCTTTTCTTGTCACGTTCTCAATTTTTTTATTTTTGCCACTTTTTAAATCTTTTCATTAAATGTTAACTGATGTTTCGAAGTCATTTAAGGGACTAGCTTCATCTGTTTTTTACCAATATCTGGTATTGCATACTCCTTTGCTAACAATTTTAAAAAAGGCGAGGAACAGAAAGAACTGGGGGAAAAAAAAAAGAGGTCATATTTCCTTCATTGACTGTTCTGAGCAGGTCGTTGGTTTCCAGAATAGCCCATTAGAAAACAGCAGTGAAAGGGACTTCGAGCTCTTTAAAGTCGGGTGCACGTCTCTGGGCTGCCCTTCAATCTGACCTTCCCACAAAGAGTAAATTCTCCTAAAATCTCTAGGAAAGTCTTATCACCTTATGGAATTGCATCACGGTAAGGGATTCATTCAACTTAATGCAGCGTAGCAGGTGTGCTAAGCCTGGGGCCACCGTGGTAAACAAGACAGGTACGATTCCTGTCCCCAAAGAGCTTACATCCTAGTGGGAGGGATGGTAAAAGGTGAACACATAAAGCAAGCTCAGATAGTGGTCAGTGCCCTAGAGAAAATGGAACCAGGCAATGGGACAGAGTGACTGGGGGTCTACAACTTTAGACCAGTTGGGCAGCCCAAAGCCCTCTGAGGACGTGGGATTGAAGCTGAAACTTGAGTGAAAGAGGAGGCCAGTCTCATGAACACAAAGTCTCGTGATCTGTGAGGCAGCCAGAGGCTTACAGCCTCTCGAAGTTTGTAATTGATTTAGATACTCAGCAGTAATAGAAATTCAAGGCCTCGGGTAAACCTCCTTTCACAGGATTGGTGAATAAAAGAGACAAACATGCCTCACACTTAAGAAGACTCGATTCAACCAAATAAATCCAGGCAAAGTTATTTGTATCACTTCCAGATGTGTTGCTTTGTAAGTGGGCTACTAGCCATCAGGGTTTCTCTAAGGAGGAAGTCCCCACAGCGCTGGCCACTCACTCCCTCAGTTCAGCCTGTCTCCCCCTACTCACTGCCTCGGGTCCCCCTCTTTGCCACCACCTCCTCCACAGGCACTCCAGAGGTTTTAAAACTGTGCAAACTTTAAAAAAGTTTGTTGTGTAAAGGTTTGGAATGCATATCCTCCAAAAAGATTATAAAATTAACGGAGAAAGAAAGGTGATATACCCTGTTCTCTGCTTCACTGGTTGAGTGAACTAAAACAGACGCATCAGGCCCCAAAAATGTGAAATTGACACTAGATGACAGAGCCAGTGTCAGTAGTCAGTGTGGGCTAGACATCAGAAATGCAGAGCGTGACCTAGAATGTGTACTAGAATCTGCCACTCCCCTGCCCGAGGACACTCCATCCCCTTTGGATGGCTTCCCAGTCCACGGAGGGAAATCCAGACTCCCCGCCGTGGACCGGGAGGCCGCCTGTTCCCACCGCTCTCCCCATGCTCGCCAGACAACCGCAGCCCAGCCGCACTGGAGACCTCTGTTTCTCAAACACATCAACCTGTTCCTGTCTCTGGACTTTGCACTGGTTCTTATCTCTTAACATTAAACTGCAGCTCAGTTGTGAATCTTTATATCTTCTATTGCTGTAACTTCCGTTGTACGTGTTATTGATCTTAGCCGAGATGCATATGATCTGCTCTGTGATAGACACTGCACAGTGCTATTGAGTTAGTGACTTAGAAGCTGTTCGCATTTTCCTCTGTCCTCAGATTTTAAGATTAAGAGGATAAGAGCTTCCTTCCCCCAACTTATTTCTAATTTTGCCTTTGTGTGTGTGATTCAGGAGGGCGGACGAACTAAGAGCCACCGATACTGGCCCAAACTGGGTTCAAAGCACAGCTCAGCTACCTATGGCAAGTTCAAGGTCACCACAAAGTTCCGAACAGATTCTGGTTGCTATGCAACCACAGGCTTGAAGGTCAAGCACCTTTTATCTGGGCAGGAAAGGACGGTGTGGCATTTGCAATATACTGACTGGCCAGATCACGGCTGCCCAGAGGATGTCCAAGGATTTTTGTGTAAGTTTTTTTCTTCCTGGTTGGGGTTTTACCAACTGTATCAATGGTCTTATCTTTTGGAGGTGAAATAGAAAGAGAGGGTCCTTTCTCTTAAGTGATGATAATATTATGACATTGAAGTATATGTCCCTTCATATAGTATATGTAGAACAGAGAAGACAAATCCATGTCACTTATCATATTCTCTTTACCTTTTATGCAAATAAGCTAAAACCGTGGTAAACTAAATGATTCTACCTTGATTTAGACTTTTAGCTACACATTAATAATTAATAATTCTGAAACATGCTCCATGTCTGAATCTTGAAAACATTATGCCAACTCAAATAAACCAGACACAAAAGGGCAAATATTCTATGACTCCACTTATATGAGGTACCCAGAATAGGCAGCCTCATAGAGATGGCAGGTATAAGAGAGGTTACTGGGCGTTAGGGAAGGGGAATAGGAACTTACTGTTTGACTGGTAAAAAGTTTGTTTGAGACGAGAAAGTTCTATAAAAGGAGAGTGGAGGTGTTTGTACAACATTGTGAATATACTCAGTGTCACTGAATTACACACTTAAATATGACTAAAATGGTTAATTGCATGTTATGTATATTTTGCCACAATTAAAAAACCACAGAGCAATAAAATTAGAACACCTTTATTTTTCATGGACTTTTGCTCTCACAGCCGTGTTATTTCCCTATAGTAGTAAAACTCGATCAGGACTTAATCACCACTGATTAAGATGATAAGAATTATTGAAATCAACTTGTTTTTTTGAAACTGTCATTTTTGGATTCATTCATATATATACATCATGAGATAGAGAGAGATATATGAATGATATGGTTATCTTAGAAATGAATTCACCCAGATTTGACGCAGTACTTTATTTGAAAGGCCAGAAGCAGGGTGCATGTGTGCCCATCATGTGCCAGGCGGCGGATCAGGCTCTTAGAGCACAGTGACGAAACAGTCTCTGGGTTAAAGCCACTCGCAGTGTCATGAGAAAGCCAGGCCAGCGATTATGGTCCAGGGAGGAGATCGACATTGTTCGGTGGTGGCTGTAGCACTCTCCCTTCCGTCCCGCAGTGTCACCTCAACATCCTGCACGTGAAGCGAACCCCTATTCCTTCCTTAGCCAGCTAGGAAGGAGGCCCTGGGCTCCCTGCACACTTATTCCCATACCCGTTCTGATGATCACTCTCCAGCTGGTGGGAGCCCTCCTCGACGTTGGATAATGTCAGCACCTCGATTTCATCTTGATGTTTCTTTAGAGTGAGAGGTGGGGTTGCGGGAAAAGAGAGAGAATCGGTTTTCAAGTGCCTAAAGGTACCACTTCACAAATGGCAACAGAAAGATTCCGATGCATACGTATTCGTCGATATTGGTATTTTCTTTCCCAGTAAAGAGATGATGGTACTGGAGGAGTTGGACATTGAAAGTAGAAGAGAGAAAGATGATCAGAATCAAAGACTCTAGAGCGTGATCTAGAGAGGGTTCGTGATTTGCCCGGGGTCAAACAGTTACCTGTAGCTCAAATATTAATAAGGAAGACAATGACCTCTGCAGAACTCTGTCCTCATAACTGTTCTTTTTATTCCTTTCTGGTCATCTTGCTATTTGAGTGATTGGAATTTTCTCAAAGACACAGAACATGGAAACAATAAAAGTAGATCGGTTCGATGATTGACCAACAGCTCTGATAAAAGATTGAGTTTATAAAGTGGTTAAAATTAAAGCCAGATCTGAACCACCTGAAGGAAAGGCGATCTAAATTACTGAAAAAAAAAAGAGAATATTTTTAAACAGGATAAATTTATTAATTTATGTTTCTAAAGAACTCAGGACAAGTGTGCTGATTGGGATCTTAGAAGTGTTGGCCGTCTAGATTTTTCAGAATGCAAAAAGATCTTTGCCTGTGTTTGGACTGGAGCACCTGGGCGCAGAGGACCTCGGCAGATTGCCTTCACTGACTTACAGCTTTAGGAATATGATTGCTGGAGAAAACATCCATCCAAATCCGGTTTTTCTGTGTTTTATGAAGCTCCATGTGATGTTGGCATCTGCCTTATCGATCCATATTTCTTTTACTTCTTAAATTTAGCAAAAGAAAACTTTTGTCTCTTGTCTGCGAACATTGCCTTTTGTAAGACAGAGAATGCTCAGTCACCCAATATTTTTCCTCCTTGCGGAAAAATTGGGAAGAGAATTCCATGCGCAGTATTTGGCTCTTGCAAACACTCAGTAGCGGCTCCTCTGTCTGGCTATCTCGGGCTGTCTTTTCGTTTTCTGTTTCATGTTACATTACTGCCGGTGGTACTGGTAGTAATAGTTTGTTTATTTTGGTAAACTACTTCGGATTACTTTGTAATTAGATAAGATTACAAAGGAAGATAGGAGTTCTTATTAACTGTATGTCAACGGATGCTTTTAAATTAATATGATGGTTTGAACACACTTTTTCCTCTTCAGCAGTTTGAGCGTCTCCTGTGGTCTTGTGCTCACTGCTGTATTAGGATGAGATTTTCTGCGTATGGAGAATCTTCAAATCTGTTTCTCCCCCGAGCTAGCTACTACAAAACCTCAATTACTAATGGACTTTTCCCGGTTCTTGGACTGTTAGGGAATTACATTTGTATATTTTTCCTTTTCTTTTTGCAATTCATGATCATGAAAATAAAAATAATTAAGAATAGTCTTGCTGTAATTTTTCACTTGTGCCCAATTGAAGTAGTGAGCAGACCCCTGCCCAGTCCTGCTGAGTTAGGCAGATGTCGGAAGGGATGGGGAGGGGGCACCCCCTACCACCACCACATGTTGCCTCCATAAAGGGGGATACAGGGCTTATCTTGAACTACTCACATAGCCACATGGAATCCAAGCTGAAAAGCAGCCCCCCGACTCCGTAAAGTCCATTTTAAAATCTGAAAATGAAGTCAAGCCTCGGTTGACATTGACTCATTCAGCAAGGGGAGAGAAGAAGGGGCAGATGGATGCTCTTCCCACCAGCAATTGGCTCTGACAGGCGGGCGTTTCAAGGGGACCTAGCTGGTGTTCTGATCCCAGTCTGTTAATAGTAGGAATTGCTGTAAGTAATGTCGAGAGTCATCTGCTCGGGGGACTCTGGGATTTGCAGAGGGGAAAACAGAATTTAATTTTTAAAAAAGAACTATTTAATTTAAAGAACAAATTCTCCCATGGACTAATTGACTCCCAGCTGGTCCTTTTCGGATCCAGGACTGTACAGTGGGTACCAGCCAAATAATTAGTGTCTTGTAAGAACTGTAAATTATTGTCACTTAAAAAAAAAAAAAAAAGATTCACCCTCAGTCTCACCCCTCCCCCACTGGTATGCAAAGCCATGTAGGACTTCGGTGACAAGATTTGCATTTTGTCTTGCAGCCTACTTGGAGGAGATCCAGTCGGTCCGTCGCCATACCAACAGCATGTTGGAAGGCGCCAAGAACCGGCACCCTCCGATCGTCGTCCACTGCAGCGCCGGAGTGGGGAGGACCGGCGTGGTCATCCTCTCCGAGCTGATGATCTACTGCCTGGAGCATAATGAAGTGAGTCATTCTGGGCGTCTCTAAACACTCCCCCTCGGGGACAGACCTACACCGCGGCCGGACCTTCTCCTTTGCCCTTGCGTTTCCGGTGCCTGACTCCCTCTGTCCTGATGACAGTTTTCCAGACCCCGAATCCTCCGGCTTGGACTCTGACATTCGCAGCCTTCCTTATCTTTTGCCTTTCGCTGCTCTTCACTCTTCAGAGACATCCAGATAACACGGGGGAAGAGAGGAAAGCGTGAGACAGGAAGCACTGAGGACGTCCGCCGTGTTTTGTAGACAGTCTGGTTTTATTGTGGGTAATTTTCCACGGCGCGTTATGTGGTCACATGTAGTTCAGATGCGTCTTACATGTCTAGGGTGTGTTTTGGCCTGAGTCCTATGTGAAAATGTGCGTACTTTAAAAATGGTTTTCATCCTTCAGAGGGGCCGTATATAAAGGGGGTTGTTGTTTGCTCTTGTCTACACTGGCAATGGAATAGTGCAGGGCAGACTGTGAGCGCCTCCGCTGAGGTGCACGCCCAGCCCTCCTCCCCAAAGAAGGGGCTGCAGCTGCCTCGCGCCCACGGGGCTGAGGGGCTTTTGATTTCGTGGAGGTGAGACCAACAGCCATCAAGGCTAAAGATCAGCTCTTCTGCCTTTTATTTACATGGGGGCTTTAAAATGGTTTTCGCTTTTATTTTTTAGTTGGGGGTCTTCATAGCAGGCACGCAGAGGAGCTGGGCACATGTCAGTCTTCCTGCTTTACAGACAGAGAAACTGAGGCCCTGAAACAGTTTTGTGACTTGTCCAGTGCCACGTGGGTCCTAAGTAGTTGGTGCCAAAATGAGAAGGGTGGTCTTTTCCCTCCTGGCCCCAAATTATTTCCTGTCTTCACTCTGCCTCCAGATGCCAAGTGTCATTTGATTCTTGTTCATTTTCCAAATCGTACACCTTGGAGAAATCAAAGGAAACTTTCAGAGTTGTTCAGTCGTTTTTAAATTCGGAAATGTTATAATGCACGTTCTGTGAAGGAATTTATATGATAATATACATATTTATTTAATAGCATCAGTGGTTTGAAAATCAGATTATCGCCCCGTGAAGTTTATTATATTGTAACTTCCAGGAAAACAATAAATGTTAAGTTTAATCATATTCAAAGGGTTTTTAAACTCCCTGCCTATAGAAAGTTGATTTTGGAAACTTTCAGTCTGTATACATGCATGTTTGTGATGCTAAAAAAGTAGAATTGGGGTTTGGTCACGTGTGGCCTATTGTTGAAAAAAACAAACATTCTATCGATGAGCAAAATGCCCCTCCTGGAAGCAGTTGAGACTAGCAACAGACATTTCATCATCTTCTATGAGATTTTTTCCTTTTGCCTCACATGAGATCTCTTGTTTGGTTCCCTGTCACTATTAGAAGTCTCTAGGAGAGTAAATGGCTCTCCACTCAGTCCCAAATGCGCCCAGTGCTGGGAAGACGGAATGAGATGAAGCGGTGCATGTGGCCAGGGTGTACCCAGGCTCCACTGGGGGCAGCTGTGGGTTCCAAGGGAGGAGGAAAGGCTTTGTCATCCCCTCACCACTTAGATGCCTTTTGCTCCCCGCTCCTGTCACTTTCTTTGCCAGCTTCCCCTTCTTTTCTCCATTCCCCGTGCACGCCTCCTCTGCTCCGCCTTCCTCCTCTTCAGCTCGAGAAGCTATTCTGTCCGTCTTGTCTGACATGAAGGCTTGTTCTGTTCTGCGCTCTTTGGAGACCCATCAAAGGCCAAGCCTCGGTAAAGCGATGACATGAAGGCTCATTGATCACCAGATGTGACTGGCCCAGTGGAACACGAACAGCACATGTCGGAGCCAGCATGGCGCAGAGCGAGGGGCTCGGCCGCTGGGGCCTCGTGCGGACTTGACGAGGGCTCGGGGTGATTGCGTTCTCCCTGGTGTGTCCAAACATAGCGGATTTCCTCAGTGCCCAGTTGCACGCCAAAACATTCTTTGCCTGAACGTGGTCAGTCCAGAAAGGACTTCTGTTCCCATTGATATTCAGAGATAGCCAGATGACTCATATTTTTCACTTCCCTTCCCCAGCACAAATATAGCAAGCCTTATCTGTCCTGTTTCCCGTAATTGCTATTGGTAGACGATGAGAGAGAAAAAAATGTCTCTACTTTGTTCTGCTCCAGGCCTGGCCGGTGAGATTCAAACCCTTATTTTGAGAGAAGAGTAGAACATGTTTAGTTTGTTCATTTGTTTTTTAAGCAAAGATTTTGACAAATATACGACATTGTGTGTTTCATTTTTCTCCCGTCTGAAGTTTCCTGCCTTCTTTCCATGGCTTCTGGATTAACCTACTTTATGTGTTATTCTATAATCCATACAGTTTTAATTTTGTTAGTGAAATGCCTTTTCTTTTTCCTGGAACTAAGACACTTACAGTAGGGTCAGGTCACGGTGAGGTGGGGATCGGAGGGGGCTCTCCCAGGTTGCTCTGAGAAGCCTCTTCGTGTCCCTTGCTTTCGGTCACTAGAATGTTAGCTGGAACATTGTAACGCCCACACGTTTTTTTCAGAAAGCACTAGTTTCATGGTTTGCAGTGCTCACTCAGCCCCCTGGATTTAGCTGTCTGCCTAGGTTAGCTCCTTACAAAAGACCAGGTAATCACTAGCCAAATAGCAAGACATGTGGATCTTGCTGCTTTTCTGAATAAGTTATCCCTCCTTGTGGAGTAGTGAGGAAAAAATGACTTCTGACTTCTGAGCAAGACTGAGCAAGCATCAACTGCCGCCTGATTCCCTGGGTTAGGGACAAGGGACATCAGAGCCCATGGGAGTGAATCTTAAGGGCAGTCGGTACTCTCTTCATTGAGGACCAGGGGAACCTTCTTCGTCTTGTTTCCAAACTGCCCCTTATCTGGTCATATACTGTCCTTGAAGCCGAGTGTCGCAGGCCATTGAGATGGTAATGCTCGTGGTAGAGATGGAGGCAGAGGTGGAGGAGATGGTGGTCAAGGTAGCACGGTGGAGGGGAAGGTGACGATGATGACAATGAAAATACGAGAATAGCAGCTAACCTGTGTTTAATGTTCACCCTTTGCCAACACTGTTCCAAGTGCCTTGCGACTCAGGTCGCCTTCACGATAACTCTCTGGGAAAGGTGTTGTTAGTGCCTTGTGTAACTAAGAGAAATCGAGGCACAGGTAGATGAGGGAATGTGTCCACATCCCACACCCAGGAAGCAGGGGGCAGGGGGTGATGCAGATGATGCCTGACCTGGAGCTTAATGCCTGTGGGACCCTGTGTTTCTGTCACAGCCTTCGATGAGTCTGGGAGGAGAGCAGCCTTATTCTAGCCTTGTATCTTCAGCGCCCAACCCAGAGTAGAGCTTATCGAATGTTATGTTACTTTTCATTATTAATTGGTGGCTCTAGGTTGTATATCATGATTATCAGTCACTTTACTTTTTATTTTTATTTTTTCATTTATTTTTATTATGGTGACATTGGTTAATGAAATCCAGTAAGTTTCAGGTGTACAATTAACGGTAAGTTGTATATATTTTGCGTTGTGTGTTCACCGCCCATAGTTAGATTTCTTTCTATCACCATGTATTTGACCCCTTGTACCCCATCTACCTCAAATACCGGCCACTTTAGAATATAGTTTAGGTAAAGCTCCACTAGCTACCCTCAGAAGTTTATGGTCTAGGGTCTGTATTTTGACTAATAATCTGAGGATTCATGTGTCTTTTCTCTTTCTTTATTATCAAGCACTTTTTCTTTCTAAAGTCTGTGGTGTGCGTTCCTTGACTAGTTTTGGAGACCTGCGACCAGTCAGAATGGCAGGTGGTGTATCCGAGCAACACAAAGTTTGGAAAAAACTGCAATGATTTTTGAAAGTAAAGTAAAAAAAGGCAGACAGCTGAGTTTTTCCTATTTTACTTGAAATGCTTGCTCAGCCCGTGGCAGCTTCATGGGTATGGCCATTTGCCTGGGACGTGTGCCGAGGCCACAGTGGCATCGTTGGCTTGGTGGTGCTTCTGCCCTGGCTGGTCCAGGAGGGTGGAAATGATGCAAATGAGGGGACACCAGGACAGCCCCTGGTTTGCTCAAACACCGGTGAGCCACCATGTTAATTCTCTCATGGACCATAGTTCTGTGTTCTCGAAGAATTCACCCATAGGCAGTCTCGTTTCTGCTCGATGTTCTTAAAGGCTTTCACTCCGAACATGCCTGATGGTCGGAGATTGGATTTTGACAACTGTGCTTCCTATGTAAATTACACGTAAATTATCTCAGTCGGCCATGGCCATGGTCCTTCGAGGTAGCACGATGGGCATGATCGTTCTCATTTCATTAACATTAGTAAGATGATAACGAGGAATGTTTATTAAGAACTCTCTGTGCTAAATGCTTTACGTACATTTCTTCATGTGATCCTGGGAGGTGGGCACTAATTATCACCCCACGTTATTGCCGAGGAAGTGTCACTGACGTGGGTGGAGCGATACAGCCATTAGACGGAAGCAGCACTGTCCTTATTTACAGGTGAAAAAGCCGAGACTGAGAGATGTCTTAAGCCCTGCCACTGGGCCGGGATGGAGTCGAGAGTACCAGTTGGGTTTAACTTCAGCCTCTCCGTTTCTCTCAACGCACTGGTCTGCATTTAAAGTAGCAAGTCAGTCGCACGTGTCAACCAGGTTCTCAGTGGCTGGTATAAAGTCCTCGACTGGGAAAACCTAGATGGGGCTGAGTCCTTTGCTTTCTCTTGTACCTGCACGTGGGCAGCGAGGACGTGCTTCCCGGATGAGGGCAGTGAGGGGTGACGCAAGGCAAGCTCCCCATCTCAGGGTCTTGTGCTTTTTTCTTTTTCTTTCTTGCAGAAGGTGGAAGTGCCTATGATGCTGAGGCTCCTCAGGGAGCAGAGGATGTTCATGATCCAGACCATCGCTCAATACAAGTTCGTCTACCAAGTCCTCATCCAGTTTCTCCAAAACTCCAGACTCATTTAACCCCCAACCATGCTCGCCCAGTGGGGTGCGGATGGCCGGAGCCGGCAGGCCACAGGCTCCCTGAAGATGGGGGCCAAGATTATTCATAAACATCGTGTGTTATTTTATACGAGATAATTTATTTTTTTTCCTCTTTGGAGTAACTTTTGTGAATCACTGTAATGCAGTTTTTACATTAATGTAGTACTTGTCATTTGAACCACATTTTGACTGATCTGCATTGTAACACTTCAGTAGAGGAGGTTGCCTGGTGATCATTGGGGAGACAGGGGCATAAGGGAACACATCTCTGTGAAGTTGAAGCCAGATTTATAACCAGCCCCGAAATTCATCAGCTTAATTGCTTATGTCCAAATTAGAGATGGCAAGAAAAATGAGCTCATCCTAAAATGTAAAGATAAGGACCAAGACCCCTTCTTGAAGGAAAAAAAAACACTGCTCTTGTATTTTGTGCCCATGAGCCTTGATGGGCAGATTTCTGCCTTCTTCCTTTCTGTCCTCACCTCAGCAGACTCCTCCCCTCCCCCAGCCTGGAGTTAGGGACAGGGCCCTCGCCCAGGCTGAATGATGGGACCTTTCTCAACCACTCCCTGTTCTCGGCCCTGGAGCCCGTGTTTCCTTGCCTGGGGGCTGCAGCCTCGGTATTTGCTACTTCTCCCCATTTGCTCGGTGGGCCCCAGGTTGGTGGCCTTTGAGACCCGGGCCAGGCGGTCCGTGCAGCGAGGCCCCTTGACCGATTGAGAGAAGAGAATGGACCAGAGTGAGGAGAAATAGGAGATGTAAGGCCCTTGATACTGTATTTAAATATGATGTGTGTGCTGGTCGGAGGCCGAGCGGTCGAGGTGCTGGCTGTGTTCTGTCTTCGCATCAGTCACTACGTCATTGGAAATATTATAAAAGAAACAGTTGGGAAAGCTGATTTATGGGGGGGTTTTGGCACTCGGCAGGGGCCCTGGCCAGGAGCCGCACCAAGCGTGACCCCACAGTGCCGGTATCCTCTCTGGGCTTTGGTCTGTGAGGGCGGAGCTAGGCCCACTCAGGTCCTGTAGTCCAGATCTCGGCCCGCGTGATGGACGATGGTGGGATTCACCTCGCGCAGGGCCCTGTGCTGGTCTCCTCCATAAACCTGCTCTGGCCGCCTGGGCTGTTAACGCCGCGTCGGTGTGAAGCTCGGCCTCAGCTGGTCTCTTCCTGCGCCGTCATCACTGGCCACTGTCCTGAATTTCTGAAATTAGCACATAAACACATCATGTTCCACTCGCTTTCCCTCTTGCTAGTTTTTCTTGAACGCAACTTTTAAATCGTGGTTTTGTTCTTAGACTTGATTACCGTATTCCACCACGCCTTCCTCCATTGCTGGTTTTTTTGTTCGTTTTTGTTTTTTGGTTTCTTTGGTCTTCTTCTGAGCTGAAAATACAAAGAATGGCATCAAGGGAACCAGAGAGAAGAGCGTTCACATATCCGCAGACGGGTGTGGACGCGGTTCCGATGAACTACGTGGGCACGCGGACCAACTCCGTGTCACGTGCGGCCAGCTGTTGCCGTGATGATTCTTAATTATTGAGACTCGGAGCATCTGGTCACGGAGGGCTGTCTGTCTGCTGCTCCAAGGTCGGAAGAATCAGGCAAGGAATGTAATAACGTCAGCTGAGCTCTGTAGATTCCGGGATTGTGGTGTGTGTTTTGAAAAAGAAAACCATTAGCATGGCATGCGTTTCCTGTGGAACAGAGCTCACGACCCTGGCGGCGAGACACTCAGAACTCGGGTCGTTGACAGGGGAGGAGGTATTTGCTTCCTTTCCTTCGAGACCATCCGTCCTTGGGATGCTCTGCTGTGAGGATGTTTTAACAGTGGGTCTGCAGTTGACTGCTTTATTGTTCGATGAGCAGCATCAGTATTTCTCTTCCGTCTCTTAGGCCCCAGCGAGGGCCCTGTTGAAATGTCTCACGAGGGCAGTGTGTAGATCTGCTGTCTCTTTGAGCTCATCACTCGTGGTTCTCTGGTTCTCCCTTCAGCCCGTCCGCCGTTGCCGCCTCCTGCCATGGAAATGTTAATTAATGCACAAAATGCAGGGAAGTAGGACGCTTACTATCCAATTTCCTAGCCAGAGTTTGTGTTGAAACCCAAAGGAGAATGTTTAAAAGTTATTCCACATCTTTCCTTTTTTTATAAACAAATGCTTTTGGTCCTTGAGCACATTTTGCATTCCTTTTCACATCTCGGGCAAATGCCAGCGAATCTCCTGTTAAATTAGCAGCAGACATTGAAAGTCCTTTCAGTGACATCTGCATAATAATTGCCCAGAGATACTTTATATCTGGGAAGCAAGCCAAGGAATAAACCTTGAAGCAAAGTGTATTAAATTAGTTATCTAGTTAGAGCCTTTGGAATGAGTTCCTGATGATGTATCAGGTCTGAAGCTGGAGCTGTTGGGGTCTGTTGCTGCACTTTGGGTTTGAAGGGAGAAAATTAAAAATGGAGGAAAATTCAAATCCCATCTCATAATGAAGCCATCATACACCGTCAGGCTTCCGGTTTCGAAATTCTCCAGTTGAAACGTTGTGTCTCTTCTGTCCGTGCTCATTTGGATGCATCACCTGTGCTCAACCTCGTTCGCCGTGGTCACTGGATCGTGGGGGCAGAGTTTGGCGTCTTCATCCTGGAGTGGAGCTGAGCCTGTGAGCCACGTTGGTAAGCCCGAAGGAGACACCTCCTTTCAGGAAGAGTCGCTGGTGGCATTTCCATTCATACTCACCTGGACCGGAAGTGAGGGAGGATTTGGCTGCATTGGAGTCGGATGTTAAGTATCCATTCCTTTGTAGGAGAGTAAAGAGGACAGAGCCCCTCTTGGTTGGAGGGAGACAGATCAGGGAAGGTGAGAGCATCTCCGCACGGAATATTTGGAGTGATAAGCTTTTGAGGAGACTAAATAGAATTTTACTTTTATAACCTTTGTAGTCTTGGATTGAAAAGAGGAACTAATTTTTTCGACTCATTAATCTGTCGCTATTTGCCAAAGAGTCACGTGGTCATCTCTGGCCCCTTCCTCCTCCAGCCTGGATGGAGGGCCTTTCTGGGCTCTACTGTGGGACTTGACCACTGGCCTGTCCAGGACTCAACCTTTATCCTGCCCACTCTCAGCTTTTGTGGTTCAGTTATTAACTCTAGTGGGTACAGTAGGTCAGCATTTTTATCCAGCTTCCTACTTTTCTTATGTTTTCCAGCTGAATTTAGATCGACCCATATGAAATTAGTTTGCACCACGTTCTGTTTACAGTAACAGAAAATTTACATGGCTCAAACTAACACGCACAGTGTGTTTCTCCCCTCTGACGTAGTATGTCACCATATGTCATCTCTCCAGACAAGTCCTCATGAACACAAAAGCGTGTGTGACGGCTCTTTCTGTGAACGCGCCGCCTTGCTCTAGCGACCCTTGCTGCACTCGGCGAGTGGGCCATCTTGTGGGGCTTGGAAGTCACTCTCTGCAGACACGTTAGTACCCTTTTGATTCTGATAGGCAGAGTTGGCCATCAGTGTGGGGGTTTTAGCCACTACCCTTTCTTGAGGTACAATCTGTAGTAGCTGACCTCATACTGGTGCCTGGGCACTGAAGCTGTCCTGCAGAAAACAGAGTGCACTTTCTAATCTCTCTTTCCCCACGTCCAGTGGTGTGTTTGATGGGGAAAGTGGGTACAGTTCCTGATTTCTTTTGGAGAGAGATGTCAGTCACTTGAGGTGTAGGCGAAGGTGCAGAAGCCTTCTAAGATATGTGCCGTGGAGCACAGCCTCCACGGGTGGCATTGGGTCAGCCCCCATGTTAGAGTCGATCTGCCCTTCATTCCGCCTCGGGGTCAGGAATAGTTGGGGTCCTAGAGTAAGAAATTTCTAGAAGCACCGCGTAATCACTGTCGGCCTCTTAAGGTAGTCCTTCATGGGACTTCAGCTTCTCTTAGCAGAGGTTCTGCTGCTGCTGTTTTATATTGTTGCCTGTGGTTTTGGCCAGATGCTTGTCATGCTCTGATTGATTTTTTTCTTGCGAGCAAAATAACAACCCATCTAGCACTGATTCCAAATGGAGGACTTTGGGTTTTCTATGGACATCACACGTTTTCCAAGAGACCCACAGCTTTTTGGGTGACATACAAGTTGGCCCTGTAGGTAAACATCTCTAAGATGTTCAGTTGTGTTTGACACTTTCCTTTGAACTCTGAGCAAGGAAGCGGAATGGTTCTTATCTTTGCCTCAATTTCTGAGATGTTTGGGGGCCAAAGGCCTTTCTGATGCATCTGTTGAAAGTAGCAGCAACATGCCTGGGAGACACGTGAGGATGCCTCCAGTGAAATTCTTCCAACCCAAATGTGTCGCCCTGAAAGTCACCGTTAGTCGGGGTCCCGTGAAGTCTGGCAGCCAGCTCGCCTAATGCTCAGCCTTTATCCTTCCCGCTCTCAGCTTCGGTGTTTCGCTTCCACATTCGGGTGGGCGAGCATTTTTATCCAGCTGACTACCTTTCTTTACCGGCTTCATATTAGCTGCATCTTCTTCCTCAAGGCCCAGCTGCAGAGTTCTCTGTTGAAATGTCCACGAGCCTGGCACTGAGTGTCCGGCATCGGTTGGTTTCAGAAGACCGGATGGCATGCTGTGGTTTGGTGCCGTGAGGGGGAGGATGTGCATCAGTTCCCTGTCCAGAGCTTCGGCCAGCCCTCCCGTTTTAAAAATAAATTCAAGGACACGAAGTTACAAGGCAGGAGGGCGGGAGCTGCTGTGCAGCCTGAGTGTGATAAGCAGCTGTGTGGAACGTCACCCGTTCCTTCTGCTGCTTTTTGGGCCACCAGGATCGTTCTTTCCACAAAGTCCCAAAAGCTGCCCAGAGAGGAGCTGTAAATGGGGAGAGGTGGAGGAAGGGTTTTTAGATCAGCCCCGAAGTTGCTATCAAAACTTTCATCGATTCACAAATAATAATACCCTGAACTCTGAAATGTCTCTCCCACTCCCTGACCCCTTTCTGCGAGGCCAGGAGGATGGAAGGTCTGAGGGGGCGCCCCTCAGAGAGACGGGGCTGCAGCGTTGGGGTGTCGGTGTGTGTTTTCCCCTCGCTCATGGCTTTACACGGTGTCCTCGCTGTTGCGGTGTAGCTCGATGTCGTGGATGCCGACGGCTGCCTGGCTTTGCAGCTCAGGAACACCATCTCCCCTCGCTTGTTGGTGGCCCTCTCCTTGCGACCTCATTCACAAGGGTTTTCCGCTCGTCCACGTGGCTCCCAGGGTTAGCGGTCACAGCCCCGTGCATCTCGATTCCTCTTTCCTGCCGTCCCACGGGCCCGTGGAGCGAATTCCCCTCTGTAGCGAGTGATGTTTATAATCAGGGCACCAAACTGGGAGGACATCCGTACAGTGACTGCAGTCGTTGCGTGTCTCGCAGGAGGAGGGACTTCGTGCGATGTCACCCTCTTCATCCCAAGGGCCCCTCGCTCACTTGGGCTGTGCTGGCCTCTCCTTGTTTTTCATTTGCTCGATGGGTCAGCTGTCATTGCCATTCCTTCCCCCTTTTCCCTACCCTTTTACTGCAACGCCTACAAAAGTTAAATCTAGTCATAGAGAATGACGCTTAAACCTCTCCAAACGATGTAATTAAGAACTCTGATTTGAATTTTTAAAGCCGATACAGCTTCAAAGAGTAAGATCTGGCAAACGGAAAGAACCAGAATGAAAATAGCTAGGAAGCTGTCAGTAACCGGGACGCTGCCCTGGCCCACGCTTTTCTCCCCTTGGACCCTCACTCAGTGCTAGAAGAGATGAAAGAAAAGATGGATTCAATGATCAGTCTTGTTTAAAACGACGATTGCAACCGTCATCATCGTTATTTACTTCAAGGTGATGTTATGTGGATTCCCAGTGGCCGCATTTGGGCAGAGTGTCCTGTGCAGTCAGATTAATTAGTTTCGAGCTTCCTCTTGAACAGTCTTCCTCCCTTCATTAAAGGCTCTGCACAGATTGGCCCTGTCTCCCTTGGAACAAGGGAAGCTCTGGGCTCCCCAGGAACGTTCACAGGTTGTATTGTGATCAGTTCTGTTATCTAGGGAGGGGCAGGGTAAGCTGTTGATCCAATTTATAGCTTATCCTCCTCTTTCTCCCCAGCCTCCTCCTCCAGGGAAACACAAATGCCTTCTCACCTGACAAAAGGTTTCTAGGAGAAAGCTGAAAAGATTGGGTTGGGGTCTTTGTGTGCCTTGGGGTGGAACTATTTTGCTAAAATCTCAGGAATCCTGCCAAGAATTTAGCTCGGGTGGCTCTCAGCAGGGGTGCTGGGCGGTCTGAGCATTTCTCAGGGGCCTCCCACCTCCCCCAACTGCAGTGTTAGCTAATAAATACCTTCAACCTAGAACTGAAAGCTGTAATTCAGAGCCTTTTTTTTTTTTTAATTTGACGTAAAACGTTACTTCAGTTCCCTTTGACTAAACTTTCTTGCCACTGTTTGGAATCTTAAAAATCTGTTAACCTTATCCTTTCGGAGCTAAGGTTACCCTTCATCAGAGATGACTTCCTGTGTATGTCCTTTGTTCCTTTAATAGTGGATTAACGCAATTGAGGATTCTTAAAATGGAAAAAAAGTTTACATATGCAGATGACTTAAACATATAACCGTGTGTAACATGTGTTACATTAATAACAGGTTAATCTAGATTGTTTCACTGGGCTGTTATTATGCTACTTAATTCAGTATTTTGATGCTTTTCTTGGTCTGTGTTTTATAAAATGTTGCAATTTATGTTATTCAAAACAGTGGACGTTTAATAGATTTCATATCAAAATGATGTACAGACAAGTCCTCAGCTTAGAAAACAGTTGATTCTCAAGGTTCTTGGGTCAGCCCCCGGAAGCCCGCTGACTCTCAGCACAGCTGAAATGGAGGGTTGTGTCAACTAGAGCCGGTTCGCTGTCGTGGGCTGACCTGGAAATTGAACCACCTGTTAGGCTGTCGCTGTGAGAAATGCATTCCAGGTTGGGACTTGGGATCCTGAGAACACATTCTTATCCTCAGGTGGCCACTGGCTGCCTTGCAAGATGGAAATCCAGTCTCTTTTGCAAACTTGTAAGGAGAGAGGGAATGAGTTTATTGGACATTCCCTAAGTTGGGGAGTGATTTACCAATATTCATATCAACTCTACTTTGTTATAGACTCCCTCTCAATTTAACGATATTAAAAGCCTTAAATTATGCATGCTAGTCTATGTGCTTTTTTTTTCATATCAGTAAATAAGCTTATGCTTGGCAGTTTTATACACAGTTATGAGGTATATAAAACTGACTTTTGACAGTATTTTTTGCACTGTTCCCTATCGGTTTTTATAAAGTCTTATTTAGATACTGGTCCTAGTTGAGTATCGTTCATTGTTCTCACTGCCCTTGTCATTGCTGTAAAATGTTTCATATGTGCCTTTACAAATGTGAGATCTTTATTCTAACCTTTTTTTTTTTTTGTAAAAGATGTCTATTGATTTACATATGCAATAAACTTTTTTTTTTTTTTCAGAGAAAACAGTTGCATTTTCTCTCTTCTGTACTATGTATGTTTGCATTAGTTGAAAGCATGTATCTCTTACTTTTAGGATTATTTCCATCGGCACAAGTGCCTGGGAACATCTGCTTAAAAAACTGAAACCGGTGATCACCAGGCAGATGGAGTAAAGAATACACAGAAATAGATTCTTCTCACAGATGCAGTGATGACCCTTATTAAGCACCAAGTCCCAACCAAGTCCCAGCTGTCGTTTACTTAGATCCCAAACTGCTGACCTGGGAAAGATGGCCACCAGGTTGCTAGAGAAAGACCTAAATTCTTGTTTTTGTCTTTCACTTTTATTAACGACACAACTCATCTCTAGCTTTAAAGGTGGCTCCCCAATCCCATATATGTTTCAGCTCATCAGCTGCTACAGACATACACCATGAACCCCTAGTGATGAGGGTGGACACTTTATCTATCTTTGATCAGTAACAGGGCAGTGTCACCCCTTCCACGAGTAACCTATTTACAATTATCACTATATAAGGAAGGAGTTATTCACATTATGACAGGGAGAATACCAAAGCCACTTGGGGTGACAGGAGATGGAAGATAAATCTCATTCAACATACAAATAATTCTGTGTATATGTTGACTGGTAACAAAACAATTACAGTTCTTGAAAGAAAAGCTGCATAATATTTTTAAAAAAAGTGATTATAGACAAAGCCAATGAAAATGGAGAGAAGTAAAGTAGAACACGTACTAATTTGTTTTATCTTCCATAGACTGAGTAAGTAGACTCCCTTTATTTCTTTGACAAACAAAAAATAGTCTTATAACCTAGAAAACAGTAACCACTAGTCGACCGGTTTATCTCCAAATAGACCACTAGCAGAGCTGGGGAAGGAAATTTTTTTTTTAAGGGAAAAAAGCAAAAGATAAATACAAAAAATACATATACACACAAATATGCCGTAAAATGACGAAAACAGGATCAAACATGTCTTTTGTGATTTTACATGTTCTTTAATGAAAATAAATGGGAGAACACATCAGGCTTACAGTTAAGAAGCATAATGGAAGAAAAGAGCTCACTCAGTAGCTACAGAAACACAAAATCTAGGAATTAAGATGAATGCATAGGACCTGTATAAACTAAACCCCTTTGTGGCAAAACATAGACAAACTGATAAACTCACCATATTTCCAGATAGAAAGACTCATGAAGAAGTCAGTTCTCTGTGTATCACCGACTCCAATGCACTTCTAACAACACAACAGCACTTTTATGGGGCAGGTGGGGAAAGGCCAATAGAGGACTTGGCCAGATGACTCTCAAACAATTTGGAGGGTTAAACACTGGGAGGATGGCCAGAAAAATTCAAGAGAACACAGAATATTAGCTCTGCTAGATACTAAAAGGTTTGCAGTGCACAAAGAGTATTTTACTGGCATAGGAATAGACAGATCAATGGACCGAAATAGTGCAGAATAAACCTAAGTCTTATGGGAATGATATTGAGAACATTTCAAATCAGCAGGGGAAAATAAATCATTCAATAAATAATGCTGGCACAAGTAGCTAACGATAGCAAAATTTAAAAATTTTAAAGAGTACAATCATCTCTAATAATTCTAGATAGATCGAAGACAAAGAATTTTATATCTGGTCTTCATTTAAAGATGAAAAAAGTCTGCCTTGGATCAGCAAATGTGACATTTGGACAACCAGGGGTAAAATATTTTCAATATATGACAAAGAGCTAATACTCCAATATATATATGTACATTGAGCTCTTATAAATTTTTATGAAAGATAGGAATAGCAAAATAGGTAACTGCCACAAATAACTCACGGAAGAAATACAATTCCTAAGCATATGAAAAAGTGTCCAACCTCACTAATAAATGCATATAAAACAAAATATTTCATACAGTAGACTCGCAAAAACTTTTTAAAATATTGCCGTGTTGAGAGGATAGAGGAAAACAAATACTACAAAGATTATATCCTACTGGTACCGATACAATTTTTTTTTAAAAGGAACTGTGGCCATATTTATTCAAATAGATGTTTCCACTACTTAACCCTGAAATTCCACTTCTAGGAATCTGTCTCTCAAAATGCTATCCCACGTCAGCAAAGTTATTTATCTAAGATTGTTCATTGTGACATTGTTTACTATAATAACAGCAAACTGGAAAAACCACATGTCCATAAATAGGAGAAAGGCTTAGTAAATTATGACGTGCACATCCGGTGCAGTGTTCGGCCTCTAAAAAGAATGAAGCAAATCTGTAAATGCTGAAATGAAAGAGGTTCTTGTCATTAAGTCAGAGAAGATTACAAAAATATGTCAGTACCATATTCTGCCTTTGTTTCTCCAAATCTATTTATATAATAGGTTATACAGGCATGGGAAAATTGGGACCTCACATGCAAACTGTACAGTGGTTTCCTCTGGGGATCGGGACCAGCGAGGGAGATGCATTTGTATTATTTTAAATTTATTAAAAAGTATTACTTTCTTACTAATAGAAAACCTAGAGATGGTGGGCTCAGCTTATTTTAGGCTTAGCTAGAGTAAATCTGCATTCTTAAAACACTAAACTCCCCGGAGCCAAAATGACGCCCTACTCATCTCTCTGTACTCAGAGAGCTATTCAGAGTGCTTTGCATATAGTAGATGCTCAATAAACATCTCATTGCATGTCTCTGGACAAGAAAATGCTTCCTGCCTGCTGGATCCCACTGTGTGCAGTGAACTGTGTTGTGTGTGAGAGATGCGTGTGGGTGTGTGCAGATGAAGGATAACAGATTTACAGCTGTTTGAGCTGTCTGTAAAACGCTGAACTGTAAACCCCATCAGGCTTTAATTATCACCTAATGGAGAAGTTGCTCTCTTTGGACGAGGAGGAACATCCCCCGGGCTCCAGAGCTCGCCTGGTCCCTGCTTTTCTGCAGCCGTTGCTAACAAACAATCCCCAGGTTGCTACCTTCCAGGCCCTGGGGAAGCTGGGCTGCTGCTGGCCGTGAGGGGAGAGAACAGTGTTTGCTCAACAACACAGAGTTGGTAAGGAAAAAATGTTTTTCCTTCTTAAGCTTACTCTGGAGTGTTGCCAGACAAGGAGAGAACTGCACAGAACAAGTAACAGAATGAGAGATGCTTTCAGTCAGTGAGCGAAGCACGCATGGAGCATCTTTATGCACTGAAGGGAGACCGGGTACTATACAGAAGAATCCGAACTGACACACTCTCCTGCCAGGAAGCGGCTCCCAGGTCACCTGAACGTTCTCCCCCACAGATACCTTTATTCCTTTCTTGCACCTTCCCTCCTTCTTCCTCCATAGGCACCTACCCCCTGAAAGCAACTGCAGGTGAAAGACCTCCTGATCGCTTGCTGGGGGAGGCCTGGGCTTGCTGACTGAGGCAGAACAGGTGTGACTTCCGCCCTTTCCTCTTTGAAACCTGCCCCACAGACAGAAGAAAACACAAACTTCAAATACTATTACCTTTTTTTATTCTCTTTCATCATTCATGTTTGTTCAGAACACTATAATAGGCATGAAGGGAAAAATAATGGCATTTTTTAAAACTCAACCTGTCCAAAGTATAATACATGAAACCAGGCCATTATCTCTTAGGGGGAAAAAAAAGCATTCAAAAATGAATTTGATATGAAGGTTAAAGATTAAGACCAACTCCAAGTAAGCCATGAGTAAGGTTTAAGTGCAAACAGTGTTTTCATCGCAAAGGTTTTACAGAAATGCTGGAGTGATGCACATGATTTGAAGTACTCAAATCTTTGAAGGTTTCTGCACTAGCATTTAAATAAAAACTACCATGTTGGCATTGTTTCAGTGGCTTTCAATTTCCTGCTTGATCTCAGAAATGTACGGATGATCTTTGCCGTGAGCTACTTCCATGATTTCGACGGCCTAGGAGAGAGGATAAAAAAAGAGGTTAAGACCCTGAAGCCGATCCCCTTGCACCCCCACTTGGGTGTTCTCCTTTAGGGTCTGGCTGAAAAAAAAAAAGGACACGATTATCTAGTAACCAAAGAGTCACCCAGTCGCTACTGCTGAGTCAAACATTGTGCGACAGCCGAAGAAGTAGAGAAATTGATGTCATGACATTCTCTGGCCCCAGTATTCTAGAGATTTCAGTAAAAAATGTTTTAGGGATGGACCCATTTGGCTACGCTCAATCAAGTAAACAGGTAACACTGGGACAGAAAAGTCCACAGCGAACTTTACGTCAAACCCGTTTTAATTGTAGGCTACATTACCAATCGGTAAGAAGTGGCTAAACCGTTCTTCCCTTCCAGAAAGTACATGCTTTCTTCTTCGTACATATTCTTAAAAAACTTAAAAATTGGTGCACATTTCCTTTGAGGAAGCGAGAGAGAGAATGTATTTAATACGTTTTTTTTTTTCCGAGACAAAATATCGTGGAAGAGTTTCCAGTGGCTCCACCACTTCCTAGCTGTGTGACCTTGGGCAACTTAACCACTCTGTACCTCAATGTCCTCATCTATAAAAGAGGAACGGTACCTACCTCTCGGAGTTGTTAATACACATAAGGTGTTTTGAATAGTGCTTGGCGTATAGGAAGTATATATCAAATGTCATCCACAGGAATTTATTTTGCTGTTTTTGTATTCCACTATATTTTGCACAGATTGAAAAGCTTAAATTACTCTCACTCCCCCAAACAGGGAGTTTCTGATGGCTCGTGACCATGGCAGGCATTGCTGTCTCTTACACTGTCCTCTGTCTAGATCTCAGACATGCAGGTCTTCAGGAATCACCTGTTTAAATGCCAGTCCGCGCCGCCTGCATTTGTTTCACGACTCCTGTTCCCTGCTCAGATTTACTCTCTCCTTCACTGATCTGGAATTTAATTACCTACCAGCACTTTACAATTGTGGCCCTAACTGGTTAATTTCCTCCAACTTGCTAAGGCAATAAATGTTATCTTAGGAGACAAATTCCCTGGTTTAAAAATGGAAAATTTTATGCTTAAGTCACACTCCTAGCCTGGTGTGGCCTTGCCCCTTCCGTGTGGGACGCGAGACCTTACTCCATCTTCCCGAAGAGTCTATGGGGCAGATTTGGGGAATCTAGAGAATGAGGCATCCAGGCTGGTCTGTGGCCCCAACCTTTACGACCATTCTGTTACAGGAGTAAACGGTCCCAAAGGTTACATTTTATCAACTATTAACTGAAAAATGAGAATCCATTGTTACAATCGCGCTGCTGTAGAGTGAGGGTCCAGCCCCGCCCCCTGGCCCCCAGGCAGCACGGGGCAGCCGTCAAACACTGAGGGGACAGATGCTGCCCAGGGTCCTGGGTCCCCCTGCATGTTCCTCACAGCATGAGTGGGGGGAGCTGAAGCTTTCAATTCAGATCCATTTGAATCAAGGCCCCACCACGTACCCTATGCTCATTACTTAACCTGTGTGAATCTCAATTTCTTCATCAGGAAAAGCTATCTCATTTTCGTGAGAATAAAAGAGCGCACATGAGGGTCCTGGCAAGTAACTGGCACTCAGTGAAGAGTGACAACAATTATAAAGTCCTAAAATTTTAGAAACTGCAAATGCATAATCCAAATACTGAGGAACTGCCCATAACCGATGACGTTTATTTCACCACAATTGAGCATCACCGATCTATAAATTCTAAAACGCAGACATGGAAGATTCCCTCACCACGGTTTCCTGGCCCACCCAGTGGGCTCTGTCCACTTCCAGAGCCTCACACGGGACAGGAGCTGTACTCCCTGTGCCCAGCATGGGCTGAGCCTGTAATCGGGGCCAGCGCCTCTCAATGAGTACACCCCTCTCCTTACAGGAAGGCCTGGCACCAATATGGATGGCAAAGGCTCGATTACCTTCTCTACCCCATCCCCTCCCACTTCTGGGGCCAAAAGGTGGGTCAAGAGCTGCTCATTCTTGTCTATGGCCATGCCACCCAGAACAAGCCCGATCCTGTCTGAACTTGGAGGCTAAGCAGGGTCGGGCCTGGTTAGTACTTGGATGGGAGACCACCTAGGAAGACCAGGTGCCGTAGGTGTAAAAAATAAAACATAAAGGATTATAAGCTGACAGGGTCCCTGCAATCTGTGAGGTCAACCAGGGGTTGCCGCGCCTAAAAGGAAAGAAAAAAAGAAAAAAGAGCTGGTCATTCTCCACCCTTTCGGTCACTCTCCTCACGAGGCGTGAAGGCCGGGTGCTTAGGACGCCGTCCAGGCCGGCGGACGCCTAACCTCTCATCGCAGACATACCTTCCGCAGGGCTTTCTCCCCCGCAGCTTTGTTTTCCAGGCCCATGTACAGTCGTCCTAGCTTCAACCACATGGAGGCCACGTTGAGGGAGTACAAAGGATAATGCTTGCTGGAAGAAAAGACAACAGGCCACCTTGTCAAGCGGCCCACGGCCGGGTGCAGCAAGCCCGTGGATGCCGAGCTCACGGCCACACTCTCCGCGGCAGCCAGGCTTCTCCAAACCCCGGCGGGTTCCGGGTGGAGAGTATGGACACTTCGACCCTATCTGGCTGCCATGGAGGTACTTCGTTTTATGCAGTTTGTGTGTTTCTGGAAAGCTACATAAAAACTTCAGGACAAATCCCATACAGAAACATTTATAAACCTAGTCCCCAAATTTTGTTTTAGGTACAGTCAGAACAGGGCGTTGGGAAAACATCTTTTAAGGTAAATTCCCTATTGTGAGGACATTATATCTATACTCTCATGTTAAAAAGACAGTATACTTAAAAATTTACACACACCGATATGTCTCAAGACCCCAGGTTTCTGTCACACTCTGAGACCAGCTGGTTTAGCAAAACCAGAAGCTGTCTAAAGTCAGGAGAACACCTTCTATTTCTTCTTTCTCTATTGTCCAATAGAGAGCTTTACATATATACAGTAGGTATTCTCCTCTGGCTTTAACTGAAGGCCGGCTGATGGGGCTTGTCTAGGAAAGAGCCATTTCTCTAGGGACGGAGACCAGGAGCCAGCTCAGAGAGAGAGAGAGAGAGAGAGAGAGAGAGAGAGAGAGAGAGTGTGTGTGTGTGTATAGGAGGTGTTTATAAACAGGCTGGCCTGTACCGCTCTACCTTCAAAATCCACCCAAGAGAGACCTGTTCTGGCTGTATTTCTGGGGGTAGGGGTGGGGGTAGCAGGGAGAAGGGCACCACGCTGCCTGGAGGAAGCCCCGGGGCCAGTGGCCCCACAGAAGACCAGAGCTGGGGCTCACTACGCTAAGGAAGGGTCCAGCACAGCTAGTTCCTGCTGGGAGAAGAAACGCAAGGCCAAGACGATCTCATCTATTCATTCTCATTCTCTCTCTCTCTCTCTCTCTCTCTCTCTCTCTCTCTCTCTCTCTCTCCCCCTCTCCCTCTCTCCATCCCCACCCCTCTTCCTTCCCTCCCTCCCTCCAGATCTCACAGAGGGAAGTGTGCATGAGACCAGAGGACTTTCTCACCCACCCTGGGAAGAAGGTAGGCTTGGAGATTATTCCCAGTGTGGCTAATTATTTCTAACAGATTTTAAGAGTTGGCTTCCCCTTGGGCTCCCCCTGCTGGCTAATCAAGGCAGTGTGGGGTGAGTGGAGGGCCGACTTGGTGGTGGAAAATCAGACTAGACACAAATTTAACAGTTCCCATTCTTATAACGTGGACTGAGGTCTCCTCAAATTCACGAGAAACACCTGGGGTGCTTCTGGAACACAGGTATCTCAGGTCTGATGCCCAGATCCCCATCCACTTGGTCTTGGGGAGCCCCTGCAATGCATGATATAGACAAGCACCCCGGGGATCTGATCTAGGCCATTCCAGCCCCAGAGTGGCTAGTCAGACCCAGAAGACAATGCCATGACCTTTGTCTGCAGCCCACTTTAAGGTTTAATGACCCTCTCGGTCCCCGTGGCTGACAGTCATTAGTACTATGTGGTAAAACCCAACCTGTTTTATTCAAACCTTGGGCGGGGGGGGTGGGGGCGGGCGGGATATTTAATAATCACAGCCACTCCAATGGCCCCAGAGTTTCCCCATTTGCAAAGTGGGCCGCAGTTTACAAAGGCACAAGAAGGGGACACTGTGAGGAATGATGGAGAAGCAGGGTTTTGATACCACCATTTACCGATTAATCAAGTTCTATTAACTTGGAAGGCATGGGAGGGAGAAGAAACAAACAGATGCCTTTTTACACTGGTCGGGATTAAGTGCAACGGACGAAGCGCCTGGACAGGTCCCGGCATGGCTGTGCCCCGGCACCCCCCGCATAACCCCAACCTGCCCCTCTAGGCGTCTCTTCCAGATGGCGGAGGGAACAGGCCAGGCCCAATAGAGCAGCACCCTGCACCTGTACCTCCGGATGTGGGTGCAAAGAAGAGAAAGCTGGTCTAGGCACGTTCCAACACAGGACAGTGAGAAGACAAAACAGCCTGGGCATGCACTTCAAATTGCCAGAGTCCGTTCCGCGCTAAGGTGATCAGAACGGCCATCGCAATCACCTGTAGGGCTTAATGATTTTCTGTCCGTATCGCAGGGCTCCCTCCCAGTCCTGCATGTACAAGCAGACGCCCATGGCCTGGTACATCATGTGCAACATGTACACGTTGCTGTCCTCAAACACGGAGCTCATCTTCTCCTGGCTGAGCTCGCAAATCTCCAGCAGCTCGCTAGGGGGTGCTCTGGAGTCAAGGAAAAGACTGGCCCACCCACGCGGAGACTTCCCAGGGCCGGCTGGGTTCCAGGGGTTACTTCTTCCACTGCGCCTGTTCCCTCGCCCTCTGAAAAAGGAAATTACAGAAAGCCGAGCAAAAGCGAAAGGAATCACATTTTTCTTGAGGAAACAAATAGGAAAAAACTAAACAAGAATTTTAGCCCCCGGCAACAGACCCCTCAGTTCAGCTGTAAACAATATTGGACAGAATCTCAAATCTTCAATTTTCTAGTTAAATTTCAACCCTCACCTAAGCTGAGCACTTTAGCTGAAGCCATTTTTAATTTTAAGGAAAAAGTCCCCACCATGAGAAAGTTTTTCCTTATGCTGAGAAAAATGAGAAAAAAAACCCCATGCCTTTCTCCCGTTTCCTTTCACTGGCTTCAGTTCTTCCTTCATACAAATCTAACGCCTTTTCAACACCCGAGAAAACGCTATCATGTAGGTTAAGCGGTGGCCAGCACAGCTGGGGTTAAAATCCTGGGTCTGCCACGGTGAGCTGTGGCCAGATTACCTGATAGCTAAGCGTCTGTTTCCCTCCGCTACAGGGGGTGACCTGTGAGGATCAGGTGAGACAATGTAAGCAAAGCCTTGGGCACAAAGCAAAATACCCAGTAAATGAGGGCCTTCGAGGAACTGTCCTCTGTGGTCTCAGATAATGTAACTTCCTACCGCACGGAGCTTCTGACCAAACTAGCCAAACAAGGTCAAATCAACGTCATAAACTGATGTTGACTCCAAGGCATGGGTGGTCAGGAAGTCTTTTTACCAGGAGACATTCTTCCTTCAAGAGTTAGAATCTCAAACCCTCCTTCCGCTGCTCCCTCCTCCCGACTCCCCAGCACCTCCTGCAGGTGAGGGTCAGTACACTCCCGGACAGCGATAAAGGATATATTTGTAGTGCTTGGCCCGCCGGAACTCCTCGATGACGTTGCGTGCGTATCTGACCATGTCGCAGATAGCTTCTGCCTTTGGGGGATCGCTGAGCTTCCGGATTTTCACCTTGGCCTTATCCTGAGGGAAATGTCCACAAGCGCAAGGCATTACCTCCCGTGGAAACCATACTGATGGGCACACTTCTCTAATAGTGCATTTTCCCGTGCGGAGGTACGGGCTTGCCCATTCTAAAGTTCCGAACGAAAGAAAGGAAATCGGGCAGTGGATCTAAGAGAAAATTCAATACGCCATTACCCTTTTACAGAAAATAAACAAACAAAACATCTTTATTTCTAGGCAGGACACCTAGATGCTACGGGCAGATACGTATGTTCCAATAGCTACGAATCAGAACAGAATAAGGAGGGGTGGCATTGCCTAAATAATCTGAGCAATTCCAGAGCAAATTCTTCATATTCTGCACAGGTTGCGAAGCCCGAAAGTGATGCTCATGTGCTTCTTCCCTTCCTTCTTTTTTTGAGCAATCGTCTTTTTTTTCACCCCCCAAGAAATAGCAGTTGGGCAAATCCTTCTCTTATTTGTACAGTGTAATGAAAATTTCATCAGCTCCGGGAATCAGGTTTGAATTGAAACCTGGTCTAACCGGCTTCCCTCTGGCTGTCTTAGTCAGGAGGGTTTAAAGGGTCAAAAGCGCCGCAGGAGGAGACACCCTTAGTCAGACAGAGATGCCGGCTTGGCCGAGAGCTCCCGAGACGCACAGCATGGTCAGCACCTCTGCGGGACCCGGGAGCTTACCTTGTGCTTGGTGGTGCACTCCTGGCACTCACAGGTAAAGAAATAGGAATCTCTTAACCGGTCATTTCGATCTTCCGTTGGGTACAGCAGGTCGATGTAGCTGGTAAAAACCTAAGAAGGTCCAAAAAGTTGACGCTACAGTCTGCTACAGGTCAACTCGCTCTTTATCCTTCCTGCGGCCCTGCCAACATTCGTGGTGGTAGCCGTGTGGGGACAGATGCGGAGGAGGACGGTCACGGTTTAGGATGGACACACGGAATTCCTTAAACGCAGCAACCCTCTGGTGTTGTTCACCTCTTTGTGGTGGAGAGAAAGGGCTTCTACAGAATCAAGGAGTCCCTAACACGAGAAATCGAAGCGCCGAAGGCACCCCCGCCTCCTCCGTCCCCAAAGAGAGCAAGCTGGGGTTCGCCCAGCAGTAACGCCCTTGTCTCTTGCACAGAAGCAAAGGCCTCACTGAGCAGAGGCCCTGGGCCGTCTCTGCCTGGCCTTCATTTAGCCTCTTTCCTTTCACGAGCCGGGATGGCTCAGCCGCGTTGCTGGGAGAGTGGAAGGGCAGCATGAACACGCACATACTCTGCTTCCCTTTCTCCTTCCGTCAGCTGGCCACGGAGCGAGAAGCTCAGCTAGGCAGGCTGGGACAAGTAAGCAGAGGGAGGACACGGCTTCTAGGACATCAGCATGCTGCTGCCTTACCCAGCTGGGACAGAGAACTTGGAAAAGTCTTAACCTTTGGGCTCATCGGGGCTTCCCGTCCTTGCTTTTTTTTCTAACGGGGTCTGTAACTGAGACTTGGAGCATATGGAGGAGACCGGCATTTAACTGTCCATTATCTACTCACTGGGATGGCACTTGCTGCTCGTCCCACACCATCAGGCAAATGTCTGACTGAACAGATGGATGTCACAAAGCCGTCAGCATGCCAGGAACCTCAGGCGCTGGCGGACGGGCAGGGGGGCACTTGCAGGGGCGCCAAGCTCTGCCCACCCCAGAGGGCAGTAATGGAGACCTCACGGCTCAGATGCCGTGGGGAGTGGGCTTTTTCCTCATTGAGGGGCAAGTCATCCCAAAGCAGTGACTTCCCCAAAGTAAGGTTACTGCATCTCAGATCTGCAAGACCCAAGGGCAAACAGACAGGAGCAAGCCCTGCCCTGCCTCCCACGGCAAGAGCCTCCTGCCTCATTTCTCTGAAATGACTGATGGTCACATAGTGCAACAAGCAGAAGAGCCCAGAAGATGGCGACAAAGGCCGCTCAGTGTCACTGCTCCTGGCCCGGCAGAGCCTGTCTAGGTGACATACTGCTCAGGTCTCCAGTCAGCCCACAGGAGCTCTGGGGCCTGGGGCCTTACTTTCTCAGCAACTACAACCGTCTGTTTTAGCAAAAAAGGCACCAGGGTGGTCTCCACAAGACATTAGGAAACCAAGACACCCCGACTCCAAAACATGATACCCTGGTCGTGATGAATTCAGCAAAGGGCGGGAAGTCTAACCTGTACCCTGAGCTTCAGGTGTCAGTTCAGTGGTGGGTTACTAACGACCTCCCGAGAATCCAAGGCCTTCATATTCAGCACGCTGATCGCTATAGTTAAAATTTTAAATCCAGACATGCACCTTAAAATAGCATTCAAGATTATTAAACTGAAATTTAATCCAAAGTGTGAGATTACAATCCCTAAAAATTCATTTATTTTATTTTATTTTTTATTATTTACTTAGGAACATATAGCCTGCATCTAGAGAGCGGGCAGGCCAGCCTTTTCAAGGTGAGACGTCTTGTGAGGTAATCATGGCATCCCAGCGCAGGCACGAAAAAGGGAACCACTGACCAGGTGACAGGACACCTGGTTCTCTGCACATCCCTACGATAAGGAGGGATGCTAAAGGTGCCTCTTGGCCACAGGTCACCTCTCCTTGCCCTTCCAGTGTGTACACTGGCCATCTGAATTACATTCCTAAAAAGGGAACTCTCCAGATTGAGACGTGCAATTGATATGACACAAAGTGTCATGCATCATCTGGAGCTGTAACTCTTTCGCTACTTCCGGGTTGCTTTTAGATAACAATGCTTTTGACCTTTTGTGGGGGAGAAAAACACGCCAACATTCACTAATCGAAAAACAAATAGGCAATGGGAATATACGGGCTCTAAAGAGAAGTAAAAACATTTCATTCTGGTCATTTCGACAGTCTCCTTTCTCTGTAAATCTCAATAAATCTTTGTGAGGCATTTAACTCAAATTTATTCTTTCCTGTTTTTTCTTGGACGGAAATGGCACCAAAGGGAAGCCCCAAGTGTGGGACATAGGTCACAGATCGAGTCATTAACCCAGGAGGGCCCAAGGACAAATACAGTGTAACTGCCGAGTGCCCAGTGATTTTTCTACACTGCCTTTTAAAACAGCCGTGTGCAGCACGCTGCCCCGGCTGCCCACGGCCACGCACTCACCTCCTCTCCCGGGTTGATTTCCTGTACCGCTCTTACTTCTGCCAGGGTCCCCTTGTAGGTCACAATGACATTGGGGCAACAACTATGATTCATCAAGGCAACGCTGTCAATCAGAAGAGAAAACTCAATTTTCTTAACTGGGCAGACGGACAGTCTGGGTAATCCTTGGCTACTTTACTTGCCAAGGCACAGGAACTTGATCTTGGCAGGACCTTAACATAAAAACCTAATAGTTGGACATCATCTTCTAAGAGGCTTTTCTGCAAGGCATTCGTAATCACATAGAACATCTTAAACTTTCATGATGTTGAAAAGCGACATCCGCCATGCAAAATCGTGCTATCTAAGCCACGACCAAAAACACACCACAGTAAAAATGGCAACGGCAACAAATCCCACAAAAATTTCTTCCCTGTAGATGCAGGACTCAAAATCCAACACCTACAGCGAACTGCTGCTCATTGCACACTGTTCACGACAAACGGGTTGTCATCCCAAGTCGCTTTTCCTGTTAGTGGATTATTTCCACTCTTTTCCTCGGCTTCCTAAGTGAGGGCTTGCGATGCCCCAGAGACCTGGAGGAAGCCATGTGAGTCTCCGCACCTTAATCTCCTCATCTGGAAAATTGGGACAGCACTGCTCCTGCTGCTCACTGTCTGCTTTTCAGGGACAGCGAGGACACAGAGAGTCGCCTATGCGAGGGGCTTTGAGCTTTCTGATTAGATCAAGGTCAAAGTTCTGAGAACAGAAATTTCTAAACTACAGGGGAAAAATGCTTGATCTCTGAAAATGCTGCCTTTGAGACCACAATGCCGAACTGATTTCAGCCCAAAGGGATTTTTCCCCCAATTAAAACTGCCCGGAAACTGGGCATACTCACATCCATATGTATCATTGCTTGGGTGGCCAGTGTCACTTGCCTCAACCCTCAGAGACCAAAACCCCTCTCCCGTTTGCCCCGAAGAATACAAAAAAGGGGCTGTGGAGCCTGACAAAGGTGAGCCTGGGGATGCTGTGGCCAGGGCGAGCTGCCCCCCACCGCTCAGCTGCTAGAGGTCTGAGTGTCTGAGTGAAGTCTGTGGCTGGCCTTGGGCCTGGGACGGCAGGTAGCAACGTCCCTGTCTTGTCCTTGGGGAGAGTCATGTCTGCCATGCATCACAGCCCACACGGCTTACTGGCAAGTGGTACACAGGCAATCGGAAATCTGATAAACAAATGGACTGAAAGTCAAAAGCAGATTTCTAGAAACATCTTGCGGACGTACTAAGTAATGCTTTTCAAGACAGACTCGTAGATATCGTTTTAATGAAGGTGGAGGAAATGCACTAAGGCAAGACCACCTCTGATAGCTCTTGGCATCATTCTTTTCTGGGCAACCTCAGGCGGTACCACCCTCAGCCTGTTTTTAGTCTTGAGGAAACTGAGAGCAGAGACATTTCGGAGTTCATTTCACGTCTGAAGCTGTCACTACCAGCCTTCTGAAGAGGGTCTAATGGCCTTTCTCTATTTCTACTTCCTTTCCCCAACGGCAAAAATCCCAGAGAGCTTCTCCCCAAAACAAATGACACCATTTTGGCCACTCGGACCGTGTAGTTATGGGAAAAAACGTTTTGTTTCTGTGGTTCAGGAAAGCCTGTGACAGCTGCTCGGGACACGTGGACTTGCACAGGTTCTTTCTCTCTCAGACCTGCATGACGCACAGAGCTGGGGGGCAACAGACAGACAGACCGGGAGCCCGCACGTCATCCGTGCAAACGTGTGGGTGTTACGGGTTTCCCGCAATCGCTTCCACCAAGCCTCCTGTAGTAAATATTAAGCAAGGTCGCTTTAGACAGAACTAACCTACAGACAGGGGACGCGTCTTTGCCCCACCTGTGAAGACAGAGCTTGATTTCAGGGGACCGAAGAATTTCGAAAATGCTCAGTTCCATCAAAGAGACAATGGCAAAGCCATTCTTGGCAATCCATTAAAGTCAGAGCTATAAAGATCTCCATTTGTCAACTGGCTAGCCTTTGTTGAATTACTTGAGTTTTTCTGAAATAAGGAAAACTATAGTTCTTTGAAAATTTTCCCGAGTTTAGTCCTTTAGTATAGTCTCCCTCCAAACAGCACTGTTTCTGTACTGGTATTTTTCAAAAAAGAGAAGAGAGAGAAGAAACTCACATATTCTCTGCATAAGCCTATGGTCAATTGTTGGTTGGCAATTAATGTTTCACTTTGAGTGTGAGACACCCAAAGATTTCTATAACCACAGATATGCAAAAAAGCACATTCCCCAGCAGGGCACACTATAAAATATTCTTTCATGACAGCTCTCTACCTAGCAGGACTTAACTAATAACTGTTCTCTTAACTGCTGCCTTTGGATCCTTAAATGTAGGGGAAATATTTTGAAATCTGGCAGAATTGAAAAGGTGTCTTAATTCACTTGGAGTTTCATGTCTGCCACACACAGTCAGATAGGTTATTTAAAAATCAAAAAAAAAAAAAAAAAAAAAACAAATTAGTGTTAAGTAAGTAAAAAGAAAAGAAATGAAGTGAAACTCAGCCTACTCAGGAAAGATTGCTGATCCCAAGTGAGAAAGTTCTTCGTCTTCGATTGTGAAGCCATTACAGTTAACCTGTGGTGAGAAACGGGGAGAAAGAAAAAAAAGATAGAAATTATTTCTTTCATTTTTGACCTTAAGCAAATTAATTAGGAAGACGGTCTGGTTTAGTGATTTTGAAAACTTTCTTTTGGCCCAGGTATCCTTAGTTCAGACAAAATTTACCCGTCAGCCTCATGCATAAAAAAATAACAGCAGAATTGTCAGGGCGAGGCACCTAGTCTAGCCTACCTCCCCACCTACACATGGTGACCCCGACAATAACACAGCCCTAAGGTCCGAGGACTCGCTTTTGCGTATCTGCGGGGGGAGTCAGTACACCTGGAATCGAATCTCAGTCATGCCACAGGTCTGCTGTGTGATCTTGAGCCCTTCACTGAGTCTCTCTGTCCTCGATTTTCTCTCATTGAAAAAGAACTCAATCTCGTACCCATCCCATAAGGAGAGGCGGTGAACAGGAAAGCCCTAACATAGCTACTCTAACTGCTGTGCGTCCCCTTGGGAGGCAGAGGGGCCTGAAGCTAAGGAACTAAGACCTTCCTTTCACGTCTTGGCCAAATCAACCACTGGCCATTGTCTCATCCTTAAAAAGAGATGTATCGAAAAATACCAGGGGCAATTCTCACCATTCTGGAAGCCTAGCTCAGAGTAGCAGGCTAACACTGAGGGACGTACAGCCCCATTTTGTATTGTTCCATAAAGTCATCCTTTGCACATTCACTCAGAGCCCTGATGGGCTGGGCACTGTGCACAGAAGGATGAACAGACCAAAATCTGTGCCCTCAAGGAACACCCGGTCGATCGGGAGACAGTTCAGTGGGCGCTTTCATTTATACCTAAGGTTTCAGAGCTGGCAAGGGGCTCAGTCTCTTCTCAGATGTGAAACCAGGATCAGAGAGGGGCAGTGGCCTGTCCAAGGCCAGCGGCAAAGGCTGAGGCCCCCCGTCCCCGCGAGCCGCTAGCAAGGCTGTGCGAGGTGTGCTGAAGGGGTTCACGCGGTAGGCCGCAACCTTCCGTACGGGAGACGCCGCACTGGTGCGTTTCAGGCCAATGAATGGGCTTTGGAAAACGAGTGTCTGCCGAGCACTTACTCTGGGCCAGGCACTGTGCCAGGTGCTGCGTGTCCCCTCAGACGTCTGCAATGCTGTCCTGGCATAACCCATTTTACAGATGTGGAAACTGAGGCTCAGAGAGGTCAACGATTAAGTAACTTGTTCAAAGACACATAAGGAGTAGGAGAAGAGGAGTCAGAGTTCAAACTGGACACTGACAGCAAAGCTGTCGGACATACTAAAGTGTTTCTTTACGCTATAGCATGTTTCTTCAAAATTGTTCTGATCTATGGATGTTAATGTGGCAACTTTACTTAGAATTATAGGGTCAGTGTCAAAGGCTTGGAAATCTTAGTACATTGAAGTAAAGGCTATGATGTGTTCGACTTATAGTTTTTATGATTCAACACATTTACAATTAGTATTTGCAATTTTCAACATAAAAAAAAAAGATTACTGACCGTTAATAGAACAATACATAGTCTTTGAAATCCTGAGATGTTGGGCATTTCTACATAGAAGACTGAGCATACTATTTTTTGTGCCAACTTCAAGTACCCTAACCTATTCTGTCATCAGGACATTAACCAACCACCATTAACCAATGACCATCAATCAACATTAGGTAAGAGTTTAATTAAGATCTTCATTCATTCAACACAATTGCTTGGAGCATGAACACTGCGTCCTGCAGCTCACCGGGCACCAAATGACCTACGTACAGTCTCAGACTGAGTTCTAACATGCCTTGGCAGTGTCTGCTGCCCACGAGATGTGTGCAGATGTAAACGTCTGCAGAAAGAATGAGAGAATTTAGCAACGATTTTCAAAACTGATTTAGGGACAGACAGCTCCTGACCAACTTCGAGGGGTGGGAGACTTGCCCCTTTGCGTCTTAGTCTCTTCCTCTGCATGAAGCTCAACTGCTTATGACTCCAAACACCTTCAGGCTTGAATGTCCTATGACCGCTGCCTTCCTCTCCTACTGTGCCAGGGTGTGCTTCTTCATAAGCAAAGGCTCCTATAACTACAAGTGTCAACACTGTTCCTTTCTCGGAGGCGGTGATGGTGTTTAAGCCCAATTGCCTAGCAATTTGCCTATCAGCTTTCCCTCCCTTCCGAAATATCCCTAGAGAAGAAAAGCGAACTTATGTGTTAAGAAAGATGCATGGGCCATGGTCTTTTTTTTTTTTTTTCAAGTCAAATCAGGCGTAAGTGCCTTGCTAAAGCTGTTCTCATAATTAGCATTTAGACTAGATGTAGGCTGCACACCAAAAATACATTTCCCGACCGTGCATATGTTCCCAGTGATTAAAATGCACCTCGGCGCTGTCGAAGGACCGCAGTCACCTCTGCCGCCAGCTGCTGCTGGGCCACACGTTAACCCACAACAGCCTCCCACGAAACAGAGAGGGACAGGCTCGGACGCTGGAGCGTGGACGCACAGCCGGGGGCGAGGGGCCGGACCAGGGCCTGGCATGCGGATGGACTAGCACTTCTCATTTTTGCTTTAGAGTTTTCTTTGGGGATACTGAATGCCCCTTTCCACATTTACATATGAAAAAAGATACATGTGGGTGTATGTGTGTACATACACAATCTCAGAATGAATGTTATTTGATAAACATAGCGTCTATAAAGAGACTAATAATCTATAGTTACATATATGTGGGTATATATGTGTGTATATATATATGTGTGTATATGTATGTGTATATGCATATATAAATATATTATATATAATATAAAATATATATATGTATCTATCTCCTGGATTTTCTGAGTGAGTCCAATTTCAATGACTCTGACTCATTTACAGCACAAATATATTTCTGCTTGTGAGATCCAGTGCCTTGATTTTTGGTTTTGAAAATATGGTCCCACATCTACCGTGCCAACGTCGAGAAGTCCTAGCAGCGTGCATTGCTGTCTTAGAGGCAAAGTTATCTTTATTTTCACAGCTGGAAGTGCACCTGCACCTTGACCCACGTGGGCTCCTCAGTGTGGTGACTGTCCTTCCCAGGGCCATCAGAGAGGGCCTCCCTCTCGAGGACATCTGTACTCACCTCTGCTTTATCAACGCAGTGTGGGTAGGAATGAAAAACAAACAAAAAACAAACAAACAAAAAAAACCTGTTAGAATGGGAGGGTCGTGAGAAGAAAAGTAAAATTTAATGTGTGACCCTCAGATGGTCTTTTCTTTTCAAAGAGCTTACAGCGTGCCGCGGTACGGAGGCACTGGCAGCTTCTCCATTTTCATAGACAGTTTCTGTGGCAAGAGGCAGAGGTAGGGCGAATTTCCTCTGCTCCACCCATGGATGAGGGCCAGCACAAAGAGGACCCTCATCTGCTCAAGGTCACCCAGCAAGGCTATGCAAAACAGGGGTCAAGAACCTCGTTCCTCAAGTGGATGCCATTGTTCGATTTCTGTTCACCTCCACCGACTGCGTGCGGGGTGCGGGGAGAGGGGCTCGGGCGGAGGAGGGCCAGACAGTGCTGCCGGATGCTGCGTTCTCACCTGCGCGAAGAGAACTACCAGGCTCTTATTGTCGGGGAATTCGAGGTGCTTGGAGTAAAAGTGATGGAGAGCAGAAATGTCACTCTGAATCAGATCCTTCTTTTCGTTGTCTAATTTATCCAGATCTGTGGATAAACAAACCATTATTCGCCAGGTAGGAAACTATGAATGTCTAGCTACACCCTTTTCTCATTGTAAATAGGAAAGAAAATATGTGGTACCCTCAGAAAATATTCTTCCTCTTCACTTGGTCTAACTGAAAAATCCTAGGGGAAGAAAAGCATGCCATTTCATTCTTCTCTTCCTCTGACAACTGGAAGTCACTTAGGACATGAAATTTCGACCGACCATTAGCAATGAGGTCAGGGACAAGTGGCAACAACTGATAACCAGTCTCAGTGTGGTCAAGGTCCCCCCTCCCCCTAGTTGGCCCTGGAATCTGTGTCATGGTCAACAGAATGGACATCCCCTGACTTAATGCCTTTCAGTAAGGGCATCAGCTGTTTACAAGACTGCAATTCAGCAAAGATCTAAAAATATTCAGCATGCCAGGAGAGCCGGCAGGAGAGGGCTTGGGATGCAATAATTCATCCTGCAAGTTCCTGCTTCCCCTTAATTGTTTCCTAGTAATCCTGTTAACTCAGAAAAAAAAAAGTTATAGTCATTTTTCAAAACAGCACGTAGTCAAAATAAAAGCTACAAATTATAAAATCACCACCAGCAGTAACTAGACAAACTACTGCCTCCTGTTCTCAGTCCTGCCTCGTCCACATTAACTGCGGCGCTAAATACCTCCTCGGCCGGTCACGGAAAGACTTACGTGATTCAAAATCCTTCACAGCTAACAATTTCTCTGAAGGTGTTGTTTCTGGGTGGTTTTTCTAGTAATTGGGGAAGAAATCACAGAGATACGAATTTTATCAACTAGGGCAGAAAGGAGTGGTTTCACTTTTACATCAACATGACAAAAAGGCAAAAATCCTGAAATAAAGAAAGCTTTCCAAGTTGTCCACCAGGAAGGCTCTGAGAATCTTTGCCCAACACCCAAATCCCAAACTGACTTCTTTAAAACGCTTTCTAAAGTGTGCGTAGCATTTCCTCACGCCCCGATGATGCTCGGCACACAGTAGGCTCAAAAATGCTTGTTGTGGGAAAGAACGCTGGCTAGAAAACAACTTTTTACAGCCCTGACTTAAAAGGACTGAGTCTACAGATGAACCATTCTATTTATTATTTCCCCTTCTAAAAAGGAACAAAATCTTACCCCCTGTCCATTTCACACTTTCTTTAAGCATAGGCTAAAATGATCTCAAATTCAGTGTTTCAAAAAGAACACTTTGGTTGTATCTGTGAGCCTAGATTCACTTTAAACGTGTGGCTGGCTTTGTTCTAGACACCCCAAGAGGCGCTAACAATAGTAAACCCGCTAGGCTTTGAGAACATGAATAAACTTGGTGTTGACAAGAGTTCAAAAGCAGAGCTCAAGAGCCGGCCTGAGGCGCCGTCTTTGTAATCTGGCTATTCAATTTGGGGGTACAGGTGGTCTCGCAGGGTGTTCTCACCTCCCTAGTTAACATGTTAAGCTTCCCCTTGGTAGTTGGGTAGCCTGCTTCCCACCCCCCCAATCCTTTGCCAGCTGCTGGAATACAAATGGTCTATTTTTTTAATCATCAAGTCCTATAGAGATGAAAAGGTGGCCAGGTAACTTTTCATTTAATAGACTATTAGTAGTAGTAGTAATTATAATAAAAGTTGAATGAAACTGGTATAAACTCATCATAGCATTCAGACTACCCTCCCGGTGCCAAAACATTTCAATAGTTCTTTTTTTTGGAGCAGACGTCTTCCATTCTATAAGATGAACGGTTCATTTTGCCTGGGAAAGCTTTTCATTCAGTGAAGTACACCAGCTTCTTCTGCATTCTTGACCATAACACTATAAATAACATCGATGAGTGGGGGTGGGGTGGGATGGGGAGAACAAGCAGATTGGTCATCCCACCCAATCCTCCCAGGATGCTTCCAGATCTACTTTGCTAGCTTATTTGCTCTGACACCTCACCTAGCCACACCATTTTCCCCTACCCTTTCCTTCTGACCAAACACTCCGCATGTATTTAAAGATAATTGCTAGTAAGGATCCGAAGGTTAACCTCCACCAGGGAACACGACTCTGATTTCTCGGTGTCACTCTGCAGGCACCCCTTGAGTGCCTTCAGTTACTCTGAGCTGGTGCAGTGGCATTTCAGCGAGCATCTGACCCCCAGCTGAACATAACGGAACGGTGAGCTCAGAGTCTGGAAATGTTCTACCTCTGTTTACGCGGCCCAGGGTGCCAACTTAGTCCAGGGGTAGGCATGTGCTAATCACGGCAATCATGTTTGGCTTCGATAAAAAATAGAAAATGTTAAAAGGTGAGGGTGATGTGAAGAGGAGGTGGATGAAATTTCCGCTTTATAAGATTTACAGTACAGAGGCTCTGCCATACATTCATTATTTAGCGAGCCCCTCAGTGGATATGTGCCTCCACGTGGCCTATTTCACGGTATCACAAGGGTAAGTCCAGTGGCATGTTCCTCCACCCCGTTTAGTTTGGGCCTCTGGTGATCAGGCGTCTCGCATGCATCGGTAAGGGCTGAGAGACAAGGTGAGGGCAGCCAGGCCTGGCGGCATCGTGGAGGAAACTGCTGCTGGCTACCACATTCCCATCGGGGGCGTTTCTGTTTTCCCTTCTTCTTTCTTTTACCCTCATCCTCTCTCCCCGTGCCTCAGTTTCCACTTTTCCACCCCTATTTCTCTTCTCCTTTGCATAGGCCTTCCTGGCTGTTCTGTCCTATTCCTTGCCTGCCTTGGAGCCAGAAAGAGCGGAACCCTGGACGGGACCAGGGCGTGGGGCGCGGCCTCTCTGTCAGAAAGGAAAGCAGGAACATCTCAAGGCTTGGCAGGCCGGTCTGGTTCCCTACGACGCGCTAGTTACTTTCAGTCAGGTGTTCACGTCTTAAAAAGCCGTATTTTTCTATGTAATCTCGTCTCACACAAGGATCAGAATTTAAAAGCTGGGGCTGTGTTCCTAGTCTGGGGTAAGCGACATCTTCGTTGCACAGGGCCAGTTACAAACCAGCTTACACCTGGGGTGCTGTTCCCATTCCCCTTCCCCCCATCCATAGGGGAATGGGAAATAATGGCCAGGGATTATTAACGACGGACGATCGCCGTAGGTCACTTGTTCATCTTTCTGACCTTTAAGAAAAAAAAATAAAATAAAGTGCACTTGAACATTATCCCATTTCCTCACCTGTTTGGCCAGAATCCTTGCAGTGAGCCTTACGGTCTCCGAGGGGTTCCAGTTTTCTCCAAAAACAACCATGGGAGAACATTCCAGCTTGTGCATGGGCCAATCTTCTTTCTGGGAAGGTTAAAAAAAAAATTACTAAACACACACATACTGGAATGAAGTTCGAGAAGAGAGGATGCAATAAGTCCTCCTAGTTAAGGTCAAGTGAAATATGTTTCCTTTTGGAAAACACGATGGTGCTCAACAAAAGCTGGAGATGAAAACATCCTTTAAGATAGGCATGATTGTGTAACCTTGACTCGGGCCTGGCCAAGGCCGTCAGGATGAGAAAACGTG